CCCTATAGTGGGCTTGACTGTAAGACCTATGGAAACCCTCCTCCTCAGGAAATGTCCGGATAGCAAGAAGAACTCGCCTCAGTTTCGACAGTGTCTGCCGGTCGGGCCAAAAGATAAAAAAACATTTCATTATATAATAAATCTAGAGCTGTATCCCACCGCTAAACTGCTTGTTATTCTCAGTGGGGACCACACATGGCATATTTCTGAGCACGCGGCACATTCAGAGACTATAAAACCCAATATAATAACGCACTGAGACCGGTATGTGCTCCTTAAGAAATATGTTTCGTTATAGACAAGTTGTACTCAGGTGAAATCTATCCAGAAAAGCCTAAGCAACTTTTCGACCCTGAAAAACGTGATATTTGTTTGGGGATCGACGTCGTCGAAATTGGATGCATGCTTGCGAAACTCACGCATCATGCTCCAGTGAGTTTGCATGGAGACCACGAGGCCACGCAACATAACAAATCTTTAAGCAACACGACCGCAACGAGCAAGGAGTTTAGGGGCATCATTCAGACTTACCATGAACTTCTCCTACATAAAATAAGCCAGACAGGTATAGGTGAGCCACTTCTGTCATGGTTAAAGGATTACCTAGCTGACAGGCAATTTTGCACAGATCGTCATCAAGAGTGTCGCAGGGTTCTATCCTAGGACCACTGATGTTTTTGATTTTTATCAGTGATCTGCCACGCCGTCTAAGCCGCCCAACTCTCGTATACGCTGACGACGCAAAAATATGGAGGGCGATAAAGTGTCCGGAGGACTCAGATAGGCTGCAGGAAGATCTAAACCTTCTGGAAGACTGGGCGGTGGCCAGTGGCATGACTTTCAACCTGAAAAAGTGCAAAGTAGTGAAGTTGCGCACCTGTAGACTGCAGAACGCAAGTTACACACTGTGCAATGTAAGCTTGGCCTGCACAACGTCGGAACGTGACTTAGGTCTAGTTCCAACGGAAAAACGGACAAGGACAGCTCACCAGAGGGCAGGGACCCGGGTGCGCTCCCATTTCTTTTCACTGAGGGTTTGCCGTCCCTGGAATTCCTTACCGGTAGATGTAGCTATGGCACTGTCTTTGGACGCCTTTAAGCGAAGGCTGGACAACCATTCAGTGACACAAGGACTGCATCCAAATGGCCTATACCCTTAAAATCGCATACACCATTCAGGGGTAGACAATTAAACCCGTCGTTTTACTTCTTTACATTCTCTCCCGTCTTACTCTCCTGACACTTTATTAATATTATTATTACCGATATATATGTATATATATTATTCTTCAAATTTAATCAGCTGGCTGGTTTATACTAGCTCGTAAAAAAGATATTGGATATTGGAACATTCATCATTCTCAATAATTCCGAAATCCTAACTGGAATCACTCACACTAGGGTCTGTCAGACCCATCAAAAGGTCATATTTATTATATACGTGAAGTTATTTTATTTGCTGCATTTAAATGATTCATCTCATCACTTCGATGTCAAAATCATTGGAGTTTGAATTTCGTTTTGATCAATCATTTTATTGTACTGGCCTCTTCAAGATTTTGGCGATAAAATGTACTCCGTGATTTACCGAATGAATAAGCTTGCGAATTTTGTGGGGAAAGAGAGAGATGAATATAAAGTGAAGTAAGCTATCCATTACTATCACATTGGCAAATAAGGGCATCCATTTCTGCTGGAATCGCAAACAATAATTCTATACCTTGCTATGATGGTAATTTTACAGATACATTGTTAAGTGACAGTCGGACACTGCTTGAATTTTTGGTAAATTTCGGGCTTTAAACTCATGCTTTAGCTTCGAAAGTATACGTCGGAGGAAAATGGTGCTGATTTTTCTTCTGATAAATGTTTAGGAATCATTCAGTTTTTAATTCATTTAAGCTCACATAAGATTTCTCTCGACTCAAAAAATGAAAGCAGCAAGGAATTCCGGATTGTTTACGGTAACCTTCTGAAGCTAATACACAAATATTCCTGGCCCACTAAATATCAACCACGCGACGGCAACTTATTCAGGAAGTTGAGATGCATCGTCATTGATCTTATGTTTTTGAGAAATGAAGATCGGGATGTTTACGTAAGATTTTTAAAACTAAAAATTGTAGCTTCTTAGGGTTTCTTGTCAGATACCACAGAGTACCTTCAAAAATATGTATATCCGGATTCCCAGTTATTTCATCTCACTGAGATGGTAACTTGTTGGGAGGAATTCAGTGGTGTTTTATTCTGTACTTTTGATGAGTTTGAGTCGAATTGGGTTTCCAGATGTATTCGCCTTATGGTCGAAAGTTTACAGGAGAGGTCGAGCCTTGTACAAATGAAAGTGGAGCTTTCTCAATCAATTATGCAGGTAGGTTCAGTATTATGTAAGTATTCAGTCTGACATCCAGATATCACACAAAGTGTTTTGGAGTTTTTGAATGAGCATTTACCTGAAAAAAGCTACACTACTTGATTATTTAGTTAAAATTCAGTTGTCTGCTTTACTAGGAAGTAAGTAATACGGCACTTTATTTGAGATATGGGTAATGGGGTCTAAACAGTATTATCAGATTTAGGTCGAGAAAATAATTTAGTAGGTTCTACAGATTTAGGGGTGAAGTAATAAAGAATAATCTTGTGTAAATACTGCTGGTAACGAAAGTGTTTTACAAGTTTCATTTAACTTACAATACGTGAACCATATTATCCACTTCAGGATCTTGTGGATAGGGGTAATAGTTAAATGCCCCATAGTTATTCATGAAGTCAGCAAGACTGCAGAGATTCAACCTCCCTTTGAAAGTACTAACATAAGATGGTGGCAGTTAGTGCACTGAAAGTTCTTCTAGATTGAAAAATCGATGTGGATGGCAAATTTATAGGTGCGAACTTTTGAGCATGGAAGTCCGAAACTCTTAACTATGTCTATCAAAACAGAAATTTCTACAGGAATCAAATTAAAGAAATCGACTTATCCTCTGTTTGCTTAAGTTAGTTTGAATCTATCACTGAGTGGCTTATATTTGAACATAATGCTAGGTCTGTGTTTGTATATCAGCTCCTAGTAAGGACGCTTCAATAGTATCATTTGGTTGACGGATAGCTCTTTGGTGTTTAAACGATATCTACCGAGTTCGAGTGACAGTAGGAGCACCATTGCTGAATGAGGATGCAAGTACATCTAGTTAACAAGTATAATATTAGACATAATGCATACCCTGTACTTCATTGCTGTTCATCGTCAGCTAAATGAAACCAACCTCATAGAGTTTTATCATTACACAGCACGGTGATGTGAAACAAATTACCAGCCTGTTGAGCTCCACATAACGCTTTTGGATGTCATGCTGTCTGCAGCCAAAAGGATTAATTGTTCTTGGTAACTTGTCCCCATTTATGGACAAAAATAACACTAGCGTTTTTACAATCTACTGCCAGCCCCAAATATTTTAGTGATATGATGTGTAGCACAGCTAGCGATTAGGCAACAATGTCTTCATATACTAACAGCACGGAATATAGCTTGCTAGACTTCGTGGAGTTAAAGTTTGAGAGCAGTTATAAAGTTCTGGTTTCATGAATGAAACATCACAGATGGAAGAAGAAGTTAAAAAGTTTTGCGAAATACCACCGAACGAAACTTCCCTTACCTGTTGTAGGAAAGCTTTGGTCTTAATAAAATTCACTTATTCTTAGGAGTTATTCAGGTGTTGGGATGATGTTCCAGCTTTGCATTTATGAAATTCATTCCGGGCCGACGATAATTGCTGTTTAAGATAAGTAATATATATATATATATATATATATATATATATTTAAATACAATCAATTCAATTTTATAGACCATTACAAATGTCGTTATTCCTTCATTTTATATAAGCAATTCAGACCAGTTGTTTGTTGTTTGCTGCTGTGGTTTTTATGATCAGAGTTTTTCCTAAGTTCTCTGCCTTACATTACTGAACTATAAACTGATTGTGACTGATTGTAAAACATTATGTAATATTTTGCGGTGGTGAATTTTCTTGGTATGTTCTCTTATTCGTGGTAATGTTGTGTGCGTCTCCGTAGAGTTATCCATGATAAAATGCTATATTACCACTATACTGAACCTCCTTCACAAGGATTCAAGGGGCAGTCGCGTATCAACTCAATACTTCATTGGTTAAGTATGCTATCTAACTACAGTGACACTTGTTTACCGTTCATTCAGTGTAATTTGAAAATGATTAGAAATCATATTAAGTGCTCTAAGCTAAGTGGTTAATAACTTGGTGTTATGCTTGATAAAGATATAAATATACGGAAGTGATACATATCATGCATTTCGAGTGTTTTCATAAGGTCCAGTAATTATTCCCCTTATCGAAGTTAACTCATGTAATTATTTAGTGATATTATAGCAGAATATCTTTCACAAGAGGCGAAAATAACTTACTTCTGGGTGAAGATATCTCTGTTCTCTACACACCAGGTAGATACATTAAAGTCATGTATTATCGCCCAATGATTATTCTCACTCCAGTTTTTTTATTTATTCCAGCTAACATTTTGACTATACTGATGTCATATACACGATAGGATCTGCGAAACTGCTTAACCTCACCAAAACTCTCCTTTTGGCTTTAATATGCATAACTGTAGTCCTTAAATCATTCTCCTGTCTATCGATTTTATAGCTCTACTTGTTTTGGACAACAGCATATGACATATTAGCAAAGCATATCGCTAGATATAAGTGATAACCTACAGCATATTTTCTTACGAAATATCAAGGTGTTTCTTATTCATCTTGATAAGGTCTTCGAGTCCATTACTATAAATATTTCGTCTGTCATGTTACTTTTTCTGGGAAAATAGTATCAGATGAGTATTTAAGTGAATAATGTAAATTATAATAATTTCATCTGCATACAATTTGTCTATGCATCTCTTAGCGTTTAAAATTCAAATCTATTGATTTTATTACTAATTTACTAATTCTTTACGTTCCCAGTGGAACATAGGGCTTCAAATGTGACGTCATAAAGGGAATTTGTATCTCGTTTGTGTGTGTTTTACATTTATATATGTTTCTCTTAACCGAGCCCTTTGGGAAGCAAAGTTACCACAGTTGGTATTAATTTAAATTTGAATAGAAATTTGATCACCGTTTGCCCAGAGACTTTTTTGGTCAGTCACTTCAGAAAGGTTTGCTTAAAGTTGATAAAATTACCTGACACTCATTTTTCACAGTTCGTTTCCTCTGATTTACTTTAAGGTAGAAAATCGGGAGGAAAACTGTTCGCTGATGGATTATACATACATACATATATATGGTTCTCAACTGTCATTCGCAGAAATTTATCAACACCATTGTATCCAAATATCTACCATCATAAGTATTCTCTTAAGAAACAAGTTATTTTGAATATTATTATATGGGTTTTGTAATAATTTGTTCAGTTAACATGGCCCAGTAGCCTTTTATTCATATAACAAGCAACTTTGGGCAAGCTACAATTGAAATGAATACTTATTAAAAGAAGGCTAGATTTTGGTGGTTGAAAATAATCTTCAAATAAAATTCAATTATTTAAATGGTTGAACTTAAGTGCTCAGTGTTTATAAACCCTGAAGGAAACATTTTTGAATAACAAACCTGTCAGTCAGTTTACTTAATTTGGTTCATTATTTCATTATTTTAATTATTAAATAAATCGTTACTCATACACGATGATGTAGTTAGAGAAGTATAGCTACGAAGTACTCATAATAAAGAATGTTATGGATGAAACGGGAAGGCGTATACCAGGCAAGATTCTTACTAATACGCCTCCTGTTATAAAAATTTTTCAGCTGGGATATACATGATAAATTTACTCCCTTTCATCACATTTATATATATAAATGATGAGGCAATCGTATAACTAGCCTCAGTATTTAAGTAAACTTTAGATCCCCACTACAATCCTACTCACAATCAGCCTATAGTGCTTTAATTGTTTCAAGCTGAAATCGTATAAACAGACAAGTGATTATTATCCAAATTAACGATTCGGTTGGCACTGACATTTTAAGTCAGAAGGTTCGAGCATATTTAGGCAGTTTCATCTAAATTCATGAAAAGAACTTTTTCTGTTTCTTCACAGAGAATGCAATTCTCTGTAGGGAAAGAACTCTTCTGTATGAATTTAACTCTAAACTGCTTGCATAAGAGATTTCATTGAAAGAGATAATTATTTTTACCCTTACATAACTCGGTATAAATATGAAAATAAATGGCTTTTCCATCTTTAGAAAATACTCGATTCCAAGGATTCGAAGAAGCTTACTTTGGAGGAAATGCGCTCCATCATCAAAATCTTAGGAATATGGTCTAGTATATCAAGACAATTTAAACAGATCCAGATCAATCTCTCAGCGCAGTTGGACTCCACTAGTGCTAATACTCATTCTGAGCAGACAGTTAGTGAAAATTCAAGCGATCGTTTTGGAGAAGAACTTCAAAGATCAGAGGCTAACATTAGGAATACCTTTGATTTGAAGTATTTTGAATCAGTTTTATCTTTTGACCAACTGAATGAATACAAGTGGGATAAGTTGGTTGATTCGTGCAGTTCAGTGCAGCGCAAAAGGCCTAAAAGTAAGTAGAATCAGTATAGAATGTTTTGACTGCTTTATTTCTCATTTAGTACGACGTTTAGTTTTCAACAGAAATATTGGACTTAGGAAAAATTTAGATATAGATTTCTTGGGAAGACCCCAAAAGGAATCAACTGGTAACCGAATTTTCGAAAGTTAGTCAAGTGTTTTGTCAACTGGCCATTAATGTCAAACTGCTAAGTAGGATAAGTGTTATCTTAATTAAATTATATATGTCCAAACCAAGTTCACTTCTAACGGTTTGAAAAATTTGGGCATTGGGTATATAATATTCATTATAATAAAGGTTTTTTGTATTTTCCAATGAATGAAAAACAAAACGATATTGTTTTTACTGACGTTTCGCTATTTCGCTATTCTCAAAGTATAATACTTTGAGAAAGCCATTAGCATCAAATAGCGAAATGTCAGTAAAAACAATATCGTTTTGTTTTCATTCATTGGGAAATACAAAAACACCTTTATTATAAGTGTTATCTTGATAACAGCATTGATAAAGGGGTGTGTTTTTTCGCGAATAATAGACAAAGGCTTTGCGCTATACAAAAGAAGAAGTCATCCCCATTGTTAAAAGTTGTAGATTGATTCGGACGGGATTCAAATCTCAGCCAAGCCAGTTTATCGAAGTATTTCATAATGTTGCAGTCAGGGGTATAGCCACGGTCCTAACTAACAATGAATAGCTGCCTATGAAACTCTAATTCCAATGACTTACCTTACTAATTTTCAGTAATAGTGGTCAGATTTTTGCAGCATTCTACCAATATAGGATGGGACAAAAAATGTGCATTATGTGATATCATATTTTTTGCGTTGAGGGTGATAGGAAATATGCATCGATCGTTTGGTAATTAAAGAGTAACTGTATTATGTTAGGGATTGTAATGAAAAGCCACTAAAATGATGAGGTCATTTTCAAAACAGTTCAGTCCACCGATGTGATATAAAATTTCGAATGAACGTTTTAAAAGTAGCTGCTACAGCTAACATCTTCAACAAGGTAACTAAATGGATTCGACCCTCTGGTTAGTTCATTTCTCCTTATAAAACTGTGTCTGGTTATCCTCACTTATATCTTCCGTACAGATTGTGGACATCAACTCCTCTAAGGTTGCAGGTAAGCCTCACTTACGAGTGTCAGCAAGTACAGTGAAAGACTCAGGGCTTGCTGTTGACAACCTCCAGTTATCTAACAAACAGGTAGTTAAACACACAATGATCATTGTGTGTAAACTATTGAAATATAATTATACTTTACTTTAATTTAATTTAAGATTTTCCCGTCGATTGATTGAACCGAAATGCTCCACCTCAAGTTGACATGTCGGCTATTTGTGCAGATGCTTCGACGATGTCTGGGCATGTAATTAGAATTTAATTGGTGGATGGTGGCTAGCAGTGGAATCCAGGATGCGCATTTCGTCCTATTTGGGACTCGTCGGCTGGATGTACCTGCATTCCCCAATGAGTAATGATGTTCCCACCGGGCCTCGAACCCAGTGCCCATAATTTCAAACGCCAAAGCGTTATCCACTAGACCACTTGGGCCACGAGAGCCCAGACATCGATACATTCCAATGCTTGTCACCATCCACCAATTTAAGAGTACCTTAATAGTCTCTGCAAGTATGGTATATACTTTGCTCCGTCTAAGTGCAAAGTACTTTTACAAGATTGGCAGGAGCCTGTACCTGCACTCATCCTTGCGGCTGAACCTCTTGAAGTTGTTGATAAGTTTGTGTATCTGGGTAGTTGTGTGAGTGCTGGTGGAGGGGTGACGGATGAGATTCCCAACCGTATAATGAAGGTTAGGGTGGCATACATCAACTTGAGCCACCTATGGCGCCATCACAACGTTAGCCTGGCTGTCAAAGGTCGGGTACATAATGCTTCGGTGCGGGCTGTCTTGCTCTATGCCTGTGAAACCTGGCCTCTCCGAGCTGAGGATGTGCGGCGATTCTGTCTGTTCGATCATCGCTGTCTCCACAGGATTGCTTGCGTTCGATGTCATCATCGCGTGAGTAATTCTGATGTTCGGCGGCGTGTGTTTGAACACAGTGGAGACCAACATTCATTGAGTGTTATCATCTCGAAACACCGGCTCCGATGGCTTGGACATGTGCTGCGAGTGTCATCCCAGAGGCTTCCGTACAAGTCTCTGTTCGCTAGTCCCGGGCGGGATGAAAAAGGCGGAGGGTAGGTCAGTCCATAATGTGGCACCCTGCGATGAAGGATGTTTGTGCTAGATTAGCATCGGCTCCGCGAGATAGCTAGAATCGATGGTTCGAAACGTTATTGGATATGGCCAAGAATCGTAATCAATGGCGAACGTGTTGCAATTTCCTTCCTTCTTCCCTTCCCGATGACAGTTAACGAATACTGTTTGAACTTATTAAGCATGATTGTTTTCCTTCCAGATGAAGTTCTTTATCCGTTCTCTACTTATATATTTTTTTAACTTTTGATCTATGTTGCTTTATTATTATTGTGTAGCGCATCTTTCTTGATGCCATATTCTACCAAGTTTTTTTCTGCGTTAAAATAATCATAGTTTAAAGCTATTCGATACATATCAGGTATAATATTGTCAGTAAATAACAATTGCAATTTGTAGAAAGGCAGTAAAGTGAGATAATATAATCATCTTCTTTTGTAAAATTACAAAATTTTATTGTAACAAAAAAGGGTCATCTTTGATAACTGTAAAAGCGTTCTCATTAAAATTACTTTTTTAGGTGCATTAAAGAAGTCAAACGATGAATCAATGAATTCAGGTTGGTCAATTGTTTCCATACTCTTAAAACTAACCTTGAAATCTACAGTGAATTTTGTTTTAATTGTTTCAAAGCTTACCTGTCTGTAAAAATCATGACATGTTTTATAAATAGTTGATGAGTGCATTAATTGCCTCAGTAGTTCAAGGATAGAGTACTCATCAACTATGCAGGTGGTCCGGGTTCATCCCCGCACAACGCACTCCTAGACTTGGCTAAGGCTAAAGTAATCCAGGCAAACGAGGGTAGATTGTGCATGGGAACAGCGACCCAACCCCATAAAGAGGAAGAACACTACTGCTATTGAAACTTCAGAGCCAAAGTTTGAAACCCTTTGTTCCACTCGGAAGGCATAGTAATGTAAAAATGAGTGAATGAAACTGGTTAACTTATCATTTGTCTTTTCACAACCATCAGAAAAATGCATCTTAAATATATGCACACTTACTTTCCACACAACATTTGATTCTACTGCAGTTTGCATTCGAGCCCATACAGCTTATCAGTAAACAAATTCGATGAAGACAGACTAGAATACGTTGACAAGTCTTAACTCAGCCTATTGGTTCTAGTGTCCAATTAGTCTATGAGTTTAAACTACTTTGATTTAGTTGTGTTCTCTGAGCTGAGTGATTTAATTGAGAAGCTTTCATTGTTGTTCTAGACAACATCTTCAGTGCAAGCTTCAATATGCAATGAACTAGTGTGAATTACCAATGAATGATGTAATTGTATCATTTGACAACCGTTGTCGTGATTAGTTATCAAATTATATCTCTACTGATCACTTTTGTTAACTTGAAATTTGAACTTTCTCTACATGTGATTTACTCATTATCAGTTGGTAAATTTGAGATATAATAATGTGTCTATTAGTCCTTGATTTATGTGAGTACCAGGCTTCTGGCAATTCAGTGGCACTTTTGGTATTCCCTCTGTCTAAAATTTATGCATTTATCTGATTACCCTGTGTGTATAACTGTCTGCATATATCTATATGAATGAAGATATATCGTCTCTTTTCATAGCTAATTTATATTCTTGGATTCGAATTCCAAGCGGACACCCATTTTGACCGATGTGGTGTTTATCCCAGTTCATTCAATTTATTTTGTAAATGGTATTGGTCTTATTTTCCTTCGTTGTTGGATCCCATGTTCTGCACAATATTGAATAAAGTGATTGTGTTGGACTGTGTCTTACTTATGTCTGTTCCAATTTTTTAAATACTCTAGCCGTTATTTCAGAGATATTCTTTAAATACGACAGAATGGATTTCCTTGTAGGTTATGAGGATCTTTTCTTGTTGGTATTTGGGTATTTATTTTTCTTGAAGACAGTTAAATAGGTGTTTCCCTTCTATCCTCTTCAGCAGTCGAGTGCTACAGTGTGTTTGAACTCTTCTAAACAATGTTTGGCCACAGTCTCTTTTTTAAGTTATTGCATCATTGCTAGTTAAGTTGAGTATTTGATCTGGTCAAAACCAGTAGGCATAGCTATCGATTCTAGTCTTTACATAACGGCTTCAGAAGTTAGTTCAGATATGGACGATCCCATTGATGTTTCTTTTATCTGTTCGTATATCTGACTGATGAATTACAAATATGCTGTTAGGCATAATTCTATGAGTTTCATCTAAGCCGAACATTTCGCTTTTGTGTTTTCGTCACTATAAAGTGGCTGTTGTACAGTTTCTCTCGCAAGTTTTGGAACAGGTGAAGCACACAATGCTGTGATATCAAAGGATACCATGATTTCATTGTTGTCTACGTGAATGTCTTTGATTTTTTGTGAAAATTGGGTGAATTGGTGGTTGATAGAATGGTGACATGATTCTGTTAAACATTTTAATTTTCTGGAAGTTCTTTGGACAGATTATATGTTGATGGTTCCAGTAGCGAAACTATTGGTCGTAAGGGAATGTTTGGTTTGTGTAGTTTCGGTCTAACATAAAATCGAGGTAGAACAGGTTCACTAGATTTCATTCACCATTAATTTTGTTTTATAATTTGTCCTGATTTCGTTAGTTTATTTATTGTTGTTCTGATTTTATTATCTAATGTTTTTGAAGGTTTTTCGTCAACTGTTACTTATTGATTGACTCTCAGAATGAGAGAGTAATTCACTTTCCTAATGGATCGGATTTTATTAGTCGAATTAATTAATTCAATCAGATATAATAAACTAAATAGGTTCCTTTGAATATCTTGACTATACTTTTATGTTAATGCTTTTGTGAATAAAATAGACTGATTCCAAGTGACCTATATAACTAATCGAATTCTATTCTCAAGGGTGTTTGTCAAGTGCAGTTGAGAAATCTCAATACCTACAACAAAGACCTCATCTAGGGTCTAACTTTAGACTTTCTACACTATTTTTTCTCTTTGGAAGTTTACAGAATTTCGTAATAACTGTTTTCATCAATGTGTTGAACTTATGAATATAACTATATTTGTACTAATGAACGCCTAGTTGATAGTATATTCAATCATAAGATCATTATTATTATTACCTTTAATTCCTAGAGGAACATAGGGCTTCAGCTGCGCGTCTCCATTGCCTTCGGTTCTTTGCCAACGTTTACACCTGGCTCCACATCTGCTCACATGCTTTCATCTCCCCTTCACATCACCTCCTCCAAGTCACTGTAGCACTGACGACCAACTGGCCGCTTCCCTTTCGGGTTCCACTCGAGTAATGGCTTGTTTAGTGATATCATTTGATGGTTTCCTTAGAGTATGGCCAGTCCATCTCCATTTCTTCCTGCCTATTTGCTGCACAATCGGTTCCTGATTGGTTCGCTCCAGGAGATCTCTGTTGCTGATCTTTTCTGGCTGGTCATCTGATCTTGAGTATTGAGCGAAGACAACTGTTAATGAAGGTCTGTAGTTTGTTTGACGTGGTCTTTATGACGCGCCAAGTCTCCGATCCGTATAGTAAGTGGCACTGACTTCACATTGGAGTTGAAAATCCGGATCTTATTTTTCATGTTCACGCTGAGTGCTGTTGACCTCCACATAGACTTGAGAGTAATGAAAGCTTGTATCTCAGAAGCTTGCTTTCATTCCAACATATTGGCTGTATCATTTCTGAAATTTTGCAATGATCAGGGTCACTAGTATCGAAGCTCCTCTTCTGTATGTAAAGGGAATATCCTAGTAACAGTTAATTGTGTACAAAACTGTACCTACGAACTACACTTAGTTTGAATCACCTTTCTAGATACAGAAAATTATCCTTAAAATCTGCAACTGAACTTCCTGTTTAATTAGCAATGATATATCTCCACTTAGTTCGGTAGCCTAATTTACCAGACATATGTGTTCCTGTTAATTTCACTGTACATTCTCCTTTTGCTTTCATAGATAAAATAAACGTAGCAAGTGAATCAGAGACAATATTATGGCAGCCTGTTTATACAATGAATACATCCCTAATGAAATCTCTAGTTAATTATACATTACAGTCAATACAAGATTATGCCAAACAACTACAGCTTGCATCTAATCCAACTGCATTGAATCTAATGAACAGCAGTAAAGAAGGCTTAAATCGATGCAAAAACAACTTAAACACTGAATATTATAATTGTTTGAATTTACTATTACAAACACCAGTATTTGCTACATCTGTTCATGGGCCGCTATTCAATGCCTCTGACGTATCTATAAGTGAATTTTGGTGTCACAGAGAGAAAAATATACTTGATGAACAGTTTAATCCTGGTTTGACTGCACAAAATAGACTGTGTTCATGGAATGGAGCTGTGGGAACTGGAGCAGGATTACCAATGCTTGGAATGTATATCAGCAGTGTATGTGCTATTCTTAGTTTTCAATCAATTCATTTTTCTGTTGAAAGCTTTTTATGCATTGATGTATGTATGAACGACACTGCTCAGTTGTTCAGGACAAGATAGGTAGAGTAGGCTTTGAATTATGAACCCACTGGCTGAAAATCAGATGTTTCAGTCAATGATCCACACCTCTAGATTTTTCAATTGATAGGATTTATTAAAGGCTTATTAAATGGATTTTGAAATCATATGTCCAGCCAATTAAAAGTGTATGTTTCTATTCAATCTTTCAATAAAAGGACTACAAAGTACATAATAAATTCGAAAGGTCATTGAACTAATTAATTTCCATCATAGTTAATTATTTTTACAGTCCCACTAGAGTAATTGGTATATACTTGGAGTTAAAGTTTACTTATAGTGCGTATTTGGTAATTTTAGCCCAGCATTTGTTCTAATTATTTCTGTACATTTGTTAGTTGGCTACTCTTCATATATATCAACAAGTATCTATGATGCGTTAGGTATTTTTTTAACCCCCCTTCACCACCCAGGTCACATGGTTTGTTCTTTGAGTTTTCAATCTAAAAGTGTAGTGCAATTGACATGAATTATTTAGAAGTGCACACTTAATGTTGATGAAATCTGTGAATGCTTCGGAAAATAGAACGAAACATTCGATTATCATAATACATCCGAAAAGTGTATAAACATAATCAAATGATGATTTCCTGAAATCAAACCAACAACCATAATCACGTATGGCTCAGAATATATTTAAAGTAGATATTCTGAAGACAAACATCCTCAGCAGAACGTTAGTAGTGGTACAGAGAGCGTAACAATTGACTCTTTCACAATGACAACTGTAGACATTCTTACTGTCGAACTGTTAGACGGTTTCATGTTTAAAGGAGGTTTTATGGATGTGTACCGAGCGTGTTATTTTTGTAGGAAGTGAAAATCAAAGTTCCAGAAGAAGACTACAGTTCTCACTTCATTTGGTGACAGCAGGGAGGAAGTAAGAAAGTCTACAACACAAGGGTAGTAATTTCACTACAAGTAACAATCTGTCGAAAAGCTTTACACACCAATGTTGTAAATAATAACAATAATAACGGCCTTATTCTAAACAATAATTTTGTTAAAGCGTGCGTTTCTCAGCATGTAGTATTCCCTTTACATTACACAGTAAGGGGAAAAATAATTACCAGGCCATTCACATTGATAATAATGTCAATAAGAATATAAATCTAAAATTAAGTAGAAATGTTTACAGCAATATGTGAATAACAGAAACAATAAAGGGAGCCATTTACTTACTGTTTCTCAGTAAGTCAGTAGTTTTATACCTAACAGATTTTTCTCATCACATAAAATGCGTACTAAATAAGGTATTTTAGATTTTTTATACTTAATCCTCTGAGCATAAAGTCTTTTATAATTGCTTCTACGCCTATCTTGTGAGATGCGAGGAAAGAGATATACATACAAGGAGTGCATAGAGTTTGACAAAATGATGTATTGACGAGTTAGCCTAGTGACAGTACACTCGCCCTACCGACATTTATTAATACCCTTCACAATGTAACAAAGTCTTTCTTGATTAGCTCAAGAAAGATTTAAGGGGAACAACAAAGAAGAATATGTAGAATACAAATTGTGAAAGTAGAGTCTGGGTGGTATCAGATTCTCTTAACTTCCTTACTAAGGAGGCAAAACGAAATATCTTTCAATAGAATTAATATGGTGTGTGAAGACCAGGAAACATCAGTGGAAAGGCATAATCTAAGGTATTTAACATTTAGCTTAGTTTCAACTTCACTGCCTTCTATGATAAAAGAGTCATGGGAAAAAACATTTTATGTAAATTGCCTTTGTGTCTGGAAGTAACATTAACAATCTGACATCCGAAATCGTCTGGCATAAGACTATTTGACGGGGACCATTGACCGACGTCGGATAGAAAGCTATTCATTTGGGGACGGTGTGATTGGGAAGTAAACAGCATGGAAACAGTCAGATTACCGGTTACTCAACAAGACTGGCTTCATCAGAATGAAGCAGGTCCTATATAAAGTAAACCAGAAAAGGTTAAAGAAAACAACCCTGCTGGACACCGGTTGCAGTAGGTACAGTAGTGGAAGACTGTCCTTCATATACAATGTATTATTTCCTTCAGAAAAATAGGAATGCAGCCATTCGCGAGGTGAAACTTTCTTCAGACAACTTACATTTACTTTTTCATGGTATCTGACACTCGGAACTTAGTCTCTGGACACTTCATTAGCTATGATTTTCGTGAGAAAAACAAGTTGTATAACGATGTTAGTGTCACCAGTCGGCCACTAGATAATACTGAGTGCCTTATTGTGTAGTACAGATTAATTTCTGATCTCCACTGAAATGGATTTGATTTCATGTATAAAAAGTTCTATCAAGAAGGTAGTGTCTTCTCATTTTAAAACTTATTCCCAATATTTAAGAAAATTAAATTCTCTTCTTCTAAGTTAGATCATGAGTTGATATCAGTTAGAGAACCATAGAAGACCAGGCAGTAATGGACAAATGCTGCGACCTAGTTTGAGGCTATTCGTCAGCACGCACACATGCTCCTACGGAGGACCTTTAGTTTACAAGGTGATCTAGTTAACCATTCAACCACTGAGATACAATCCAATGACCAGCCCATGCATCCTAACATTTACCAATTCGCGATATATGACACCACAGCCAGCCAATGCCATCAATGGGTATTCGCCCTCACACCTGACTTGGTAGTCTTCACTGGTCACAACTTCTCACTAGAACCTCAGACAACGTCGTCTCGTTGTCAGTCACTATTGATCAGTAGAATAATTTTCAAGTGGTGGTTTGCAGACATTTGCCTCCCTTCTAGTTATATTATGGATTGATATCACCGGAGACCAAGAATTACGTCGTTTTATTCCTAAAATGCTGAATTCTGCATCCTTCAAAGCCGCTGAATCTTCCTATCAGAAAATGAAGACTGATTCACAATTATAGTGGTGGACTGTTGCACAAGTGATAATGAATGCTGAACATGTTTAACTTTAGATAAGATTTTTCTGTAAAATGAGGCTTAGTCATTATTTGGCCTTTATCTACCAGCTCATTTGGAAGGAATTCGCTGATTTGTAATCATCTAACTCTTTTTACAAACTAGCACGTTTTCAGAGATAGAGATTTGGTTTCAGATATCTCACTCTTACACTAAGTGTTGTTCAGAGTGGAGATTCATTCGCTTGTAAAGTCTTGGTGATAATAGGGTCTGGTTTGTCGGATTACCATTTGCATAACCACACATAGCTTTAACTACTCATTACGCCTTGTGATTATTTAATTTTCTTACTGATATCTGATTTATCCTGTCATCATCATGCCTACAACTAATAATTTAACTCTATTCTGCTTTTATTTCTTTTGTATTTAGTCTGTACAGAACTTTATTGCTTTCACCCTTGAAATTCTCTTGCCAATGATATTAAATCTCTTACAAGTTGATGTCAATGAGCAGAAGTCAAAATTACAATCTGATGATGACAGTCAGAATGCAAAGAATGAATTGAACAGCACAGATGATAATGTTGACGCTACTTTGAATGCAAATAAACCTGTGGATGATAATTCCAATGATGATAGTCTGCGTATTTCAATTCTTTACCTAATCAATGTCTTATTGACTATTTTAAATGGACATGGTATGAATAAGTTACCTGAATGTGGTGACAGCAGTGATACTGATACTACTGATAGTGAATTTGGCATCAGCAATAGTAGTGCTGAATTTGTTGGTTTAACCGCACAACTAAGTACAATCACTTTGTCTGTTGACTGGGATTTCAATGGGATCGAAAAGTTGGCATTCTGCATTTCAGACTGTTTAAGCCTACGTGCGTTATGCAGCCTGTTGGCGTCCATATTTCAAAAGCAATACGAAGTTTTGTTTAAAACATCCAAGTTTAATGGACAAGATAATATGTAAGTGTTTAAATATTTTGCTGTCAAATTGATTAATATACAAAGTGTTTACTCATAAATTGTAGAGATATTTATGTGCACATATAAGTAATGTTTATTCCTATATTAAGTAATTTATGAAACTCAGTAGCACGATATAACAGGCAACTAAAAGAGATGGCACCCATAACTAGTCAGAAAACTAATTTAATGTGTGATATGATCATCAAGTGAAATTATTGAGGATTTCCATAGTTGGTTTTCGTATTTGTGCATCAAAGTCTCTAAACAGAATGGTTTGGATTTCTAGTGCTCAGTGGCACAATGGTTAGGACTCTCTTTGACCATGCACATGGTCCGAGGTTCGATCCCCTGCCGACTCACACCTAATATCTATGGTCGGCCTGAAAAATTTCGGCTACCGATATCCATGCTGAAAATTCCATACTTGTACCAAAAATACAGTGTGGAATCAAGCTGTGATCAAAAATTTTAAAACATTTAAAATTTAACCCCGTTACTCAAGCTTCTAAGATCCTCGTAGTAAGTTGGAGCATGTGAGTCCAACTAACCAATATGCGTCAACTGTATCCCTGTAAGACTTAAATACTATTTTTGTTCTATCAGTAATTAAATGAAGACAAAATATCTTCCCACCTCGAAATGGGTTCAGTGATTTAGTGGTCTTAACTAGTGAGAACTTTGTATCTATTAATCATAGAATCAGTAAACACCTATATGCCTATCACTGTTCAGTAATTTCAGCGACTTTTCAGTTAATTTGCATTTCTTGTTGGCCGATTATTGTGGTCCAAAATGATCGCTCTCTGTTAACATATCAGCTCATTGTACGGATGATCCAACTATATCTGAGGAGTAACATGGTGTTATTCTGGTTGATGATGACCAACAGTGATCTCCAGGATGCGCATTTCGTCTCATTCAGAACTCGTCAGTTGGGTATACCTGCATTCCCCAGTAATTGATTGTGTTTCCAAGGTGATTTAAACCATCACTCACTTAGAAGGCAGATACACCCAGCAGACGAGTAGTCTGAGGGAGAACGAAGTGATCATCCTGAATTCCACTATTAGTCGCCATCATCAAAAACTAATTGATGATGGATAGGACTTTCTTTTTTATTAGTTTTATTTCAGAATTGACAGTGTAACTATTCCGGTAACTTTCCCTCTATTGTTATTTCTCCATTATTCCTTAGAGCTTCCCATTTCTTAGGATGTATTAAAGAATACGATGTATCGATACGTTTGTTGAGTGAACAGATTACTGATATCACTTTAGTATATTATTACAAAACGGGTTTCACTATCGGTGAGGATTTGAAATGTGTAAACGAACTGAAATTATTACTGCCTAGTCATTTCACTTTACAGACTGATCAAGCTGTTATAGGAAATTTAAGCAAGCCGATTCACTTGATGTGGCTTATTATTTCCAATTTATGGTCAATATTAATTCACACATGTCCTGGTGGTTTAGCAAGACAAATTTTGGCACATGTTAGTTCAAAGATTCTTGAGTCTGCAGTACAACAACTTCACATCGCTAAAACGAATTCCAACTCCGATTATACTTTACAGTTCAGGTAAGTTAAGCAATGTTCGAGTGTTTGAATATATATTTAAAGGGATTTTTAATAAGTGATTAACTTTAGATGGTTGGAGGCAATCGGTATGAAGCTATGAGGTCCGTTTTTGTGTTTGTTGGCACTGGTTTGAAAGGTATATCTGCACTCTTGATGGAATTCATATTCCTTCTAAGATTCGAACCCGGCTCATCTTGTGCCTCAATCGGAGACGTCACCACAGAGCTGCTCACGTTTGCGATAAACCCCCGGTATGACTGTAATGGCTACTCTGACTGAATGCTAGGTGATAGCTAATGTCACACCTCTGGTCATCATAGAATGCAGTCTCCACCAAACGAAGGACTGGAGGCATGACACTAATTACTAAATGGTGTTCCATAGACATGTCATGTTGTGAAATGAACAATAGAAGCATGTCTGATTTTCTTGTCTAGCAATATTGTAAGTAACTGTTCTTCAGAATATTAAGTGTACTGAATATGCGTATTAGATAGACTTGATGAAGGATGGATATCAGACGAAAAACTGCAGAAGACCAATGACCAATTCATTCTAGCCTACTGGTTGACGCATGACGTACTTACGACACATTCGGGCGACTCCGGAGACGGTCTTTTGTGGGAAATGAAAGTGCGTACTGTTGAATAGTCCAAACTACGGCGAAATAGTTTGCCATCGCTCTTTGATTCTCCACTATGATCGAAAGGATGTCAGTTCTCAACTGAATATACATCAATTATTATTATCTCCAACTTCTCTTCATTCTGAAGCCCTTAAGACACCTATCCTCTTTTGTAAATGATCACTTAGGGAGATTCCAACACAAACGCACAAGAATGAGACCTTTCATATTGAAAAGTTAAAGAAGGTTTAATTCTATCTGAGTTTTCATAAGGTGATTTCAATACATTTGAGTTATACGTCACAATAATTTTCGTTCTATTCATCCACCACGAAAAATTTGTTTGCAACATTATAATTCGTATGCTGCTTTATACAATTTTAGAGATGAGTTATCGTTTGTCCTCGGAATTGCGAAATTTGTTCTTTATCGATGTGCTGAAACAATTTCAGAAGTACTTGGATTAAGTAATCTCTCAGTTGAAATGAACAGTATACATACAGCAGCTTTACTAACTACTCAAATGTTCATATCATGTTTTGCTCCAAGGGATTTATGGAATAAGTGAGTGACTTCTACGTGAATTTCTTTTTCTAAATGACCATTACCATTTAATATCTGCCTTCTCATTTATCTGTTATACGCATTCCCTCGCCATAAATATCTTCTACTTCAGTGAAAGTAGTTCAATTGGACAGTGAAAGTGTCTCAGGTTCGACTCCCTTGAAATCACATAGCTGGTGATAAGACTGCCAATTGAGGGAAGGTTGGGTGTGAGACTAGCGACCCCATCACGTAAAAACAACACCGCTGCTACTGGAACTTCAAAACCTTCAGCCCTCTGTTCCACTCGGAACACAAAGAAAAGAAAGAAAACCCCAGTAAGAACTTGCTTTGTTTCAGTTTCCTTAACTGCAAATGCTAGTGAGGTACCTGATAAACTTATAAATGTACCACAACACCAGAAAAATCACAATTAAGCTCACTGTGTAAGCTGAAAAATGATGCAAAATTGAAAAATTGGATATAATTTACAGAATCAACATAAGCACACCAAATAGTGTATAATGCTTTGACAAAGGGAATCTTTATACACACAATTAAAATGAATTACAACTGTTTGTGAGAATATTGCATGACGGCCACCATGAACGACATGGAACGGCCAAGGGTGAGTAAACTGTGATCATCCTCTCGAAATCCTCTCATATGGCCACAGGTACATACCTTCTATCAGGCGAGTCTTATACACTGCCTTCATGTGTGGATGTGTTCCTTGCAAATGCGAACGTGTCGCACTTGTGACTCGACTGGTGGACATACCAGTCTACCTGGAAGAGTTGAAATACCTTGATTCAAAGCCCATGGTATACGTGAGCCTCAGAATACGAAAGGACTGGATGGCGGTCGGACCTGTTTTAGTCACTGGAATCCTTGAGGACTCTGCTCCACTGCTTTGTAGATCAGACTTCAAGTCGGAGTCTCACGGGATGGTCGCCTTAGTCAACCACCTGATTCAATCTGATAGTCCAGGCAGTATCCCAGTCTTCGAACAAACTATGAGATTTTGCGTGTAGTATCTCTATTTTCCTATAATGTACCAAGCTTGTGTTTAATTATAATATTGCATGACCAAAATAAAGTAGTAAAAATGAACAGATAGTTCAAATATGAAGCTATTGATTTCGGGATGCTCATAATCTCTCCGAAGAGAATTATTTGCTTTAAATACAAAGAAAGGCTTGGCAAGTAAACTACTTCCCACTGTAAACTAGCTAATAAAATAGCTAATGAGTCATTCTCAACAATAAGTAAGTGATCAAATAATATTTTCTGATTATGTGTTATAAAACACCACACCACTTTAAATTCTTCCCACTCCTTTTTACAGGGAGTTTCTTCGTACAACCTAATTCAGATAAGTCGCAGATCAATGGTTTCAGATGGTTTAAAAGTTTAAATCATTTGAAGTAAAAGTACTGTTGAAGCGAACGAAAACGCATATCCAAGCTATAGATGTTGACTACAACACAATTGTATGTCTTCACACTGTTCATATTCAGAATACTACCTTGTAGTTATTTACTCGGAATCTTTTGGCTGAAGTATTCATCGAGTTCGATTTAAGACTGATTGATTTATTTCACTTCATGGGACATAGGTTCTTCTCAGAACTTCTTCAATTTACTAACTTTCAGTGTCTAAAATAAGTAATTGGAGTTTCTCACATGTTTAGGTCATTAGTTTTAGAAAGCGAAGCAAAAACCTAAACAGTGCTATCTTTCACATATTCCCAACTGAGGTAAAATGTTCATTAAATTAATCTTTTAGTTACAAAAAGTTTGAAAACGTATCAGTTACATAACGAATTATGTGGTGGAACACAGCTCCAAATTTGGAACGTGGTTAGGTCTGCTTCTACGGTCTATATGCAATCGTATTGTTTGTGTTTGTGTGTTTTTCATGTATGAATTATGTTTTGAAGTCATTCAACATCATTTCCTCCATTTTCATCATTTACAAACACCAGACTTCACGAAGAAGGATTTTACAATCAAATAGCACAAGATTCAAGTAGAACATTCGATTTCAGTCTTTCGAATTGGTTGAGAATCGTGGATCCACCGGTATTCACTGATATTCCTATACATTTAATGTAAGTAATGAAATGGAGGTGACTCGCTTTCATGATAGATTTATTTTATTCTTAGTGACTTTATTACTGGTAATTACTTGATCTGGTTTTTCGTTTATAACAAGAATGACAACCGAGTCCTCGATGGGAAACTTCTCCTCAGTTTCGTTAGACGGTATAACCGAAGTTTTATTTGTGACAGAAATTTTTGTCAGAATAAGAAATAGATGAGTATGACAAAATGTATGACAGAGATGCATATGCTGAATATGATATTTAAACTTGACATGAACAAGATGGTAGTGATTTGATATCTTTAGTAAATCTTCACTCAGAAAATGACTGACATCAAGATGATCTGAATTCGATCATTCTTATTTTCTTAGTTGACTGAAATGTTGGAGGATGTTATGATTCCATCGACTGAGGAATATTACTCAGCAACATTGGGTAAATCTTCTATAAGCCATCAGTTTTCGGCAATGTAAACCGATGTAGGTGTATAGTTCCTGTCAATGAAAATTAAAGGGCAATTCGCATATTGGTAAGCGTGATTTATAACTGACTATTCCATTTAGTGATACTTTTATCTAACGAACGTAATTTTTTAATGATGGTGATTAGAACTTTCATGCGTAACTGAATGATTTCCATTAAAAAGTATACTAATAACGAAACTAAGCGTCGGTGGCATAGCGGTTAGGATGCTCGCCGACCATCCACATGGTCAGGGGTTCGATCCCCGGCTACCGACGCACTCCTTTACCTCGCTAAGCCAGAAATAATGCTGGTAAAGAGGTAAGGTTGGGCATGAGGCTAGCAACCCCATCCTGTAAAATTAAACACTGCTAAAGAAACTTCAAGCCACTATCTTGAGTCCCTATGTTCCACTGGGAACGTGGAGGAAAAAAAATAACGAAACAAGTAATAAGTGTTAATCGATCAGGATTTAATAAATTCAATGGACCTCAGTATATATATATATATCGTGCTATAATATGTATGGAGATACGTGGCCACCAAAAGAAATGCAATAGAGAAATCATTACGAAATGATCCAGCTAGGAAGCACTACTTTTTGATGTGAATAGTATCCAACTAACCATACCAGCCAACAGTGTATACCATCAGGCATTAATACTTACTTTCTTGGTTACCATCTATGGTTTTGAATAGATAACGCACTGTTATCTAAATAATTTCGATACCAAGAGAAAATTTAATCTGAAATGTGTAATTTACCAACTGCAAATTTGACTGAAAATTAAAAATACCTTACAGGTCAACTTTAGAGAATGGAATGGGTTATCATTTTCACAGTCTGTTATGCTGTAATTCACGAAATATAATTTCTTCTTATTAGTCATATATCTCCCTATGTGTTTGTTTTAGTGTAAACGTCACTGTATGAAAGCAGCTCTCTCGAAATTTGATGAATTCAGAGAATCCTGCCTAATTAACATTTCAAGTTTGATTGAGAGACGACTTAAGTGGAAAGCAATGAATAATAGCTGTCTTTTCCTAGTCTGGAACTTTTCAGTACACATTAAACGCTCGTGACACCACCTCGGATCGTATCCAGGGCCTTTAGATTGCGAGGCTAGTCTCACTGCCATTTAACTCCTGGAACGTAATTTAATGGGTTCCGTCGCAAATGGTGTAATGGGTGCGTACTGATGAAGAGTCCCATGACACAACCAAAATAGCTGTCCAGTACTCCCTGTTGCTCAGTGCTTCTATAAATAATGCCACCTTGTGATCTAACTTGAAGTCAATCAAATCCCCACAGACCATCACTTGTATATTTTTAACTTTTTAATTCTAATGATACTAAGGTGATTTAAAAACTACCCTATTGGGAAGAATCTGATATGATTTGTTCGCAATTGAAAACTGCCTGCTGATATATGATACATGATACACAGTAATAATGCCAATTCTATTAAAAGAAGAAACATTTGCTTCTAAACAAGTGTCTTTTTGACTTTTCAGGAAAGAACGTCCTCAACAAACAGAATCTGAAATCGAACTGATACTACTATCAGCATCAGAACACTTCGAACCACTCAGAATAATCAGTGTAAGTTAATATGTACATACATATAGATATATGCATATTTCAATTCCCGGATTCTTTAAACCAGTTCCGTATAAATTTCTTTCATGACATTCACCAACGTTGTGTATAAACTTGCCTAAAAGCATACGAAATATTCGCAAACACATTTATGCTACTTATAAGTAGTGTCAAGTAGTTTTCTGTTTTCACTCACAGACGTGAAAACGTCTTATAAGATATCATAATAAATTACAACCATGTGATTTGTGACGATAAACAATAAAGAATTCTCTCCCTAGTGGCTTGAACCACCATTTTTAGTATTAGAATTGTTTATAGTAAGATCAGCATCCGCTGACATACGGATTCCTAGGATGGCTACTTGTTTGGTTCCTTTGAACTTTCTTTTACGTTGCGGTGTTGAATGATGTAATTCATGAGATATATTTAGATATATTTATCACTCGTCAGCTGAGTGCAACCCCTTTCTTGATAGTGTTCACACGGAGAATCAAACCAAGTATCCATCGTTGCAAATGCTATTACTTGCCTTCAAATATGAAATAATATAAAATAAGGTTGGTATACGTCAGCACATAAAATGAGTGTTTAGTAGAACACAGACGACCAATTCGGAGGCACTATGTATCATTGTATGTGTCTTAATACTCCACTGTCCAAATTAGTTTTTGTTAAACAACGTTGTCGCATAATATTAAATAATGTCAGTTATATATGTCCAAACCAAGTTCACTTTTAACGGTTTGAAAAAATCTGGGCTTTGTGTATATGATATTCATTATAGTAAAGGTTTTTGTATTTCCCAATGAATAAAAAACAAAGCGACATTGTTTTTCATTCATTGGGAAATACAAAAAACTTTACTATAATGTCAGTTACGTTTATGAAACAGTATAAAACCATACACACGTGATGAGTGACCCAGTTTGTTCGTGCCTTTACGTTATAACCTTCAATTGACTGGAAATTAACTGAGTGTTCTCCCATAAATCCTTTCATACCTCATGAGCAGATGATAAATCTGAAAAGATATCAGGTTTAAAGTTTCAAAGCATAGGCATGGAAAATCCTGGGTCTAAAATACGTCTCGATAATGAAAGTGATTATTTGATATTGAAATGGACAGAAAGACAAGAATGAATAAATCTAGATAGACCTCGGGAAAAGCGACTAGACTAATATAAGAATGAAGTTAAGCAATGATAATGAAATATTCATCAAAACTGAAGCTGAAAGTAGATAAATAAATACACTCTGATAGATCCACTTCTGTTGGTGGACAGGTGTGAAGAATGATTTGTGAAAAGAACAGATTTTCACACCAAATAACACTTGGTACTATTCGTTCAACAAGCAGTATACGTTTTCATAACTCACATATTTACTTTTATTGTTCTTCTGAAAGAAAAATATTTAGAGGAGAATTATATGAAGGTAATATAAGGTTAAAGATTTTGACGGCCTTTCCTCCAAATAAGTGATACTTTCTTCGAGTGAAGGCAACTACCGATATTTATAATGAAAGGGGAAATGCATTTGAACATCATATTGGAGAAGTTCAAGTAATGAGTGTAGTGGGAAAATATATATTTATTTATTTAAATGCTATCAGATGACGGCGTACTTAATAGTGAAAGCCTTTCTTCATCCGTTCTCATCGTAAAACATCTTATCATCGCCTGCTGATACGTACTTCTTACCACAAACTTTGTCAGTCGATAATCCTTCAAAAGTGAAGTGCTTAACAAGAAGTATCTATTCTCATCTATAAAAAAAAAGATAAATTGAAGCCTTCATACAAAGTAATAACCAGTGCACAGTGCTTTTTCTACTTTGGATGGGTTCATGCGTTCTTAGAAAATAACGTATTCGTGTATTATAACAAAAAGTAAGTTGAGTGAACACTGTTAGATTATCATAAATACCCCCTTAGGTTCTAAGTGAAACATTGGGTTTCCATAGCACATCTCCATTTCATCCTGTCCTCTGCAGTCGCCTTAAGCTGGCTCCACGTTTGCCCATAACCTCTCGTCTTCTTATGACATGATCTCTTTTTCATGTTACTGTCAACGCCATGCCCAACATATGGATTCCCAATTGGGTTCCACTCGAATGCCTGCAGTGTGATGTCAGTACTGTTAGATTGTAAATCAGCGTCGAACTTTAAATAATGTCTTTTAACTTTTAACCTCATGAATAATTTCACTTGGGTTTATATTAAATACTTCTGTTTAAAAAGAATAACAATAAAACTTTACCCTTTTCTTCTTCTTCTTTTATTTTTCACCTTTACTAATGAACATAATTTGTAAAGCTCTTAACATCATGCAATTACAAATTAAGTTTAGCGATTCTTGAATCGCCTTATTTGAATGAACTGAATAATTTGTTAACAAGTGGAGAGAAAACTGTTGCACGTCAGCTATTCATGGCTATATCAAATATATTGGACTCCATACCAGAGTATGCGGACTTTTTAGGCAAAGTTGTAGAACTAACAATCTCAAGGTGAGCTGATCCCTAAACGTCATTTACTATTTTATTGTTGACACTATGTAGTTCTGTGTTAATGGTCTTGTTAACGCCCTGATTTGAGAGGTGTTTCCAACATCAATTTACACTTCAAGAGATCTGACAAATAAAAGCTTAGGTAGGAGACTAAAACCGTTACTAGGATCTTTACCCACAAACTGCCCTTTATATATCTGAAAAATGGAAGAACAAACATTGTAGCAGAGTAACATGGGTCCAATTTATTTTCTGGTTACTCTTCGATTGAGTACAACACATTTAATGCAGCGAGTCATGGCAATACTATAACAAAGTTTAATTTATCAATAGGAATGATTCCTTCAATAAGGAATACAGTAACGAAGAGATAGGGAACTACAGGGATTCCTAGTCTTAATGAGCTTGACTGTCGTATCAGCCTTAGATGCTGGTAACCGAGAAGAGTTTGATAAATATGTGTAGGTTTCCTAAATCATATGAACGTTTAAACTCATTCTACCAATGGCTTACCAATTCTTCACTCATTGGATAGACATACTAGATTGTTACAGATATCAATAAACCTTATTTGTAAATGATAATTAGACATTTTGCGTTAATTTGCATCTCTTGGCATACTAGATTCTAGTGTGATTGCTCTCATGATTTTATTCTCGGTTAGTAGTTAGAAACGGTGGAATCCAGGATGCACTAAACGCGGCTCTCGTAGTCGAGAGGCCTAGTGGATAATGCTTTGGTGCTTGAAGCAATGAATTCTGAGTTCTAATCTCAGTTGGAATAGCATCACTCACTTTTGGATGCATGCACATCTAGATGACTAGTCCTAAATAGGACGAGACACACCTCCCTGAATCTACTCCTAGTCACTATCAACCAAAGATAATGGATCTTGTTTCAGAATGATTGCATTCATTTGAACTTTCATACCCACCGTTAGCTGATGTCGAATCACATAGTTTACATGCCACTTGGACACTTGGTTGATAGAATTCCACCCACGCTAAAGTGAAGTCAAGATGACGTCGCTCTCTATCTAGTCGTCAATTAGTGCAATGGTTAGAATGTTTTCAATAAGGCAAGTATGCACTTCGAGTCAGGTGACTAAGTTTCCGGAACTATTCGTGTCAGGAGAGATGATTAATAAACTCGTGGAAAAACCTAAAAGCTCACTTCAAATTGAAGTATGCGCTGAAGATGTCACCTAGTAGGGTGATGAAAGCTCCGCAAATCAATCATCCAGCTCAGAGAACACAACCACATCAAAATCATCCACCTGAGCTACAGATCTTCTCTATCACATCTTAGTGATTAACATATATGAGACGCAAACCTCTCTGCACAGAGTGCAACCATAAAGCGAAGGATTGTAAAATATGGCTAATCAGAACTAAGTGGAGACCACAGAAATAAAAGAAACTCTAAAAATAAATCTATGAGGCACATCACAGCTGAAGTTTGTTTAGCTGCTTACTGTCTTAAACAAAAAGTTTATGAATGACAAATGAATTAATTTGAGAGTCTGCATTTTTTAAATTTCATAAAATTTACCCATATGTTCGACCATTCTTTTCGCGTTTTCCACTCATCTTTTGTGTAGAAGAATGACTCTTAGTTTACCTCCTTGTATATTCCAGAACAGAAACTGATAAACTGTTCAGTCGGACGAAATTAAATTATGAGGAATGGCCCTTATGGTTCGATGTACTAGTGCAACTGATGTTTGAGCCTCTTGAAAGGTGAGTTAACAACTTGAATAAATGAATTCACCTTAATTATTCTCCCTTTCCCTAAAGTACACCAAATCAGGCTGGCGATCCACTGAAAAGAAGGTTGAGAACCGTTAGGGAAAGTTTAAACTAATAATTATTTATTATTTATATTTTCTTGTAGTCATCTGAATGTATATTTATGCAAGTCTAATAATTTCCGTAGTTATCAATAGCGTTTCATGGTTGGGTGCATTCATTGTCAATGCACGCTGAACTATTAAAGTAAAATTAGTAATTCAAATCTCTCATGCACCTGTAAGTTGTTTTAGGTAATCCTATATTTACTGACACTTACGAGCACTTTAGGATAAGTTATATCTGAGTGACGGATCATCGACCTAAATTTAAAGCAGCATATGTGCTGCATCAGAAATGAGTAGAATCATGGTTAGGATGGTTCAGAGTGTAAGAACGACCACGAAGAAATATAACCTCTTAAGACTTTTAGTCATCTAGTTAGCTGGAACTTATATTCCCTGTCAACTGACTTGCATCTGAAATTATTTTTAACAGAAGTAAATTATATCTGTGGAATGAAGTGATAATTTGATTAATCGAAATTGGTATGGCTCTCAGTTCCTCCACTTATTTTAGTGAATATAACACAATATGCATCTGTAGGATTATCATATTATTTTATTACTTTTCGTTCCGAGTGTAACAGAGAGCTTCAAACTTGGGCTTTGAAGTTTCAGTGGAAGTGGTGAATTTTACAGGGTGTCGCTACTGGCCTCACACCCACCTTCCCTCTCTAGTGAGCCTACTATTGGTTTTAGAGTGTTTCGATAGGGGATAGAATGCCAGACTACATGCGTAGTTGGCAAGTATTCTACGTCTGGATCACAGAAGCACAAACTGGCGAGCACTGAACAGTTGTTTCGTCCTTGTTTTGGACGCTTTAGTGGTACACACCTGTGACCCTCACCAGTGGTCGCACCCAGGACCTTCAGGTTACAAAGCAAGCTCATTGATTACCTAGCCAGTGGGACTTGTGTCACGAGCGGGATACGAGCCAGCGAGGAGAAACCCCATGGGATTTCGTTTCTGTCAGAATTATACCATTATCATTTATTAAAGTAAACAGTTTGTCGTCGAACGAAGAAGTCTGCTGGTTGGATCAGAGACGGAAATGACGTATTTATCTTTTAAATAATGTATTCACTTCAAAGAAATACAGTATGATGAAGAAATATTGAAGACAATCGGAAGAGTATTGGAAACTATTGATAGTTAATATGTCTATTGGAGGTTGAAAACATTTTAATACCCTCTATAAACTAACCGTTGGAAATACATCTCTAAAAATAATTCGGCATTACCGATAAAAATTTAAAACTGAGTAAGCCTTCCTCACCTGTGAAAACAAGTTGATCCCGACCAGTCGTGTGTATCCACCTGAACTGTTATATTGTCTACCTAACCCCAATACAGGTAACCCCACAAGTCTACATTAGAAATCTGAGCTTCCATTACACCACTGTTATAATATATTGGTTGATATTCACCTTGTTAATTATTTTTCACAGTGATCACAGTGACACCTGATCACCACAGAGGAACCGAAACTTAGTCATGAAATGTTGGAGACCATAAAAAATAGCGGTAGATTACTGCTTGGTAGTTTGTGTTACAGATGAATTATTTCTTCGTAAACTTATTGATGAATAATTAAAACTGTAAATGTGAATAGTATTTGTTATTATTAGAACATTATTGGCAGCAATCGATTTGAAACACAAAATTCCATAGTTTGTTGGAGGGATGGGATACTGTCTGGATGTCCAGAAAGAAGCAGGTGGTTGGCTAATATGGGCTACCTGAAGCCTAATCTACATGGGAGTATAGCAGCATCAGAAGGTGCTCTCCTACAGTTTCCAGTGATCAAGCCAGGTTCATACACCACTCTATCCTTTCAGATTTTGGAGCCTATGTACATCACAGGTCTTGGGTAAGGGTTTTGCACCTGCCCTAGGTAGATCTGCATGTCCATCAGTTTGGTTGTAAGCACTAGACGGCCGCATTCGCCCTTTCACTTTTGTGAAGAACACTCATGCCAAGGAAAAACAGAGGATAGGACTCACATGGCATAGGGGATATACCCGTGACCACATGAGAGAATTCCGAGAGGAACACCGAAGTTTACACAACTCAGGCCACGCTAGGAGGTTTATGGGGGCATTAATGAAACTAGAACGTCTCTAATCATAGGCCCTTAATCTTGTTTTTAGTTTTCATGTTATATCTTCTGCAATTAATTGACAGAATATTAAATACGAATGAAATATATCACACATCTTGGTACATACTCTTCTCTTAATAAATATGGTGGAATTTAAGCAGTAAATTCCGATGAAGCACAGATTAATTTTAAAGTATTACTAAATAACTCCACTAGAAATTTCTCAAATACCACAAAATTTGAAACAGTGTCAGTAATAAAAATTCATTAGAATAAAATAATTGATTTATATCCTCATAAGTTTCTAGATAATTCTGCTTAAGAAGCTGTGGCTTACACAACGAAACTTCCGGAGAAATCTTGTTTTGATTTCTTCTTAAACACGCTGGGATTAATTTAAATAATTTATAATTTATATCTTCGTTGTAAAAATCACACGCATTTAAATTTCATGTCAATGATCATTTAAGCTGATGCTTAAACTGTGTCAAAAGCATCCTCAAGGAAAATGCATTTCGAAAAGGCATTAATCCGTGGAGGAGCATCTCACCTACACTTTTTATTTATTTATTTATTTTATTTTTGATTACAGCTTGATTCCACAATGTATTTTTGGTACAGGTATGGAATATTCATCATGGATACCGGTAGCCCAAAATTTACAGGCCGACCATAGATATCAGGTGTGCGTCGGCAGGGGATCGAACCTCGGACCATGTGCATGGTCGGATAGAGTCCTAAACACTGTGCCACCGACGCACTAAAGAAACACGTAATGGCTACTACGTATTAACTGATTAAAAATGGCCAATAAGATTTTCAAAAGAATAATCACTGAACAAAGAATACTCTTTCCGATAACTTCATCATCAGGCTCTACAGGTGTATATACATAATAGTAGTGAATAAATGAATTAGTGTTGTGAACCACAATAATGTTCAAACAACAGCGAATCAATGATAATGATATCAATGGATTACAGTTCAATAGCATCAACATAACAATAGACTGAATGTCAGAAAAATTAGGAGAGATAATAATACAAATCCATGAATTTCTAGTCCCTACTGAAAGCTGGCCAAGGCAGTAGTAGTGACTGGACTTGCTTCTTTTAAACACAATGCACAGCTTGTTTCCCTACATATTACTCAAATTCAGGCTTAAAATGAGTATACACCTAGAGAATAGTATTTCAGCTGTGCCTACTACCTCTATATTTCAGGCATTTATAAGGCTGGACATGGAAATTAATAGACCGATGGTTTTCTCATCAGTGTTTGAATACCTGGCAGTTTCAACGGATAAAACTAATGGTATTTTTAGCGAATAGGTAAAAAAAGACGACTACCAAAAGTCTGTGTCCTGATATTGGATCGTGCTGATGACACGTCAGGCGTGATTTTGAGTATGTGAACATAGGCATCAATGAAGATAAATATGTCATCAGATCTATGTATCTTCACCGATACAAAATATATCTCAGTTTTGCAGTCAATCTGAGATTACGCCTCTTTAAATACTTAGTCTAGCTTCCCTTGATCCTGTTCATTAATTTGATTCGGTTTTTTTACTCTAGAATATGGATCCGTTTCAAAGAGTTGAAGCATCAGAGATTAGAAGAGGATGAATCTTTTCAAGACTATAATTTATCAGATAAATTAAACGAGAATCCAGAAACTGTCTTCACTAATTATACTCCTAGAAGAAGAGCTTACTGGAATGATTTATTCCATCTGATCAAATGCCATGTGGATGTCCAGTGTTAGAACCACTTCATTTCAGTGACACATGTCAACTTCCAGTGTCGAATACTCCTGATAATAATAGTAATGCTAATGGCAGTATTTCAGCTAGTTCAGATAAATATCAGTCGAAAATTACGTCAAAACTGGAGATTGAACAAGAAATTAGTAATTATTCAAATTATTATCAAAAAGGCGGCTTCACTAAACAGATATGGTTTGAACTGGCGCATGATATTATTCGTTTGCCTGTAATAAACTGTTCTGCCGGTGTACAGTTAGCACTAGCTAAAATTAATGATATCGCAATGGACAAACTAGCTGAGCATTCACAAGATATAAACACTGGCTGTAGTAATTTATTCTATGGACAACATTTTGCAATACATCTGGTGATATTATTTTTAAATTATCGCATAGACAAAGAGATTAAAATGAAATCGTCCAATGGTGAATATGAGAATCAAGAAAAATGTGATGTTGAACGCTTACAATATTTAATATTGCTGGAATATTTATGCTCCTTGTTAGACTTGAATGTTGAAAATGAAGGTTAGTCATTTATTTATCTAGTTGATTAGATATGAGAAAAACACATGATGGATTATTTTCAAGTATACACGTTTTTAAGTCCTAGGTGGAATGACAATAAATTTCAGTAAATATTATTAACGAAGGGAAGAACAAAATCACGGTGATCTTTTCTCTGGAGTAGACTAATGAAAGGTGACTAGGGATAAAAAAATATGTATATGTCAGCAATCCGCCTGTTGATAACAAGTATTAGATGGTTGGAGGCAGTCGGCAGGAAGCCTTCGACCTAGGTTTTGTGCTAGTTGGCACTCATCAGCAAGGCGTATCTGCAACCTTGAAGGAACTCGTCCCCCTTCTGAGATTCGAACCCGCGTCACCCGGTGGGGCTGCAGTCAGAGACGTTACCACTGAGGTATTCGGACTCGCGATTGACCTCCTGTAGGACTGTAGTGGATATTTTGATTGGACACTAGTAACTAGTGTGACGTTTCTAGTCCTTTCTCTGGTGCAGACTGAATTTTATCAGTCAGGTTTGCAATGTGGCCAGGTATTGCTTTTGTAGGGATTTTGTTTGATTGCATGAAGGATTTCATCATGAATTGACATCAGTTAGAGAACCACTAGAAAACCTGGGAGTACTGGACGGCTGTTTCGTTCTAGTTTGGGAATCTTCAACAGTACGCACCCAATCCCACGGTTCTAACCTAGGACCTTCTGGTTACAAGGCGAGCTCGTAGACCATTGAGCCACTGGGACCCGATTCAATGGTCCTTGAACTATAACTCCTGCCAATGGACGACATAGCGCGACCATTTCGCAATATCTTCTTCGATGAGTCACTGCCTCATCTTCAACCTGCTGTACCCTACTGGGACGGCTTCCTACTAGAACCTCAGGTTAACTGGCTGAATAGGGCCAGTCGCTAGTGAGCATCAGATGGTGGTGATGGTGGTTCTCTAACTGATGTCAGCTCATGATGACATCTTCCATGCGATAACAAGTATTGTTTCTCATTATCATTATTCAATCACATCTCACAGGTCTGGACACTTGCATGTCAAGGTGAAGTTATTCCTCCATGTTTAAAGATTTTATGAAATCGACTGATTTCAGGAGTATGTTCATCAGGGATAGATGGGAAAACATATGATACGGATTATTAATGGAACAACTCTCTGTCTCGACTGAGATCTTAGATGTGCGCTGCTGAGAAATTCCAAAACTAGGACGAAACCATTTGCTTCTCAGTTCTCATTGGTTTTCATTTGTTTTGCAGATGACTAATACTATCTCGAAATCAACTGATTCTCCACTGTTTTGTACAATTGATGTCAACTAAGTATTCACTCGAGATTCGTTGAAAGATAATATTCTCGAATTTATATTCTATTATATTATTATTGTTCCCTTGGTTTTCGAGTGGAACAATGAGCTTCAACAACATGCCTCCACTTTGTTCTATTTTCTATCATCCTCTTCATCTGGTTACACGATTGCCCATGATCTCTCATCCACTCCATCCCAATACAGCGTCTCCTCCATGTCACGGTAGCACCGACGACCAACTCGTCGTTTCCCATTCGGGCTCCACTCAAGCAATGGCCTGGATTACGATGTCATTCAACGGTCTCCTTAGTGGCGTATGCCCAATCCATCTTCATCTTCTCCTACAAGCAAAAGAAACCTAGCTTGCTACGCTTTGCTGAAGCAATTACCATCAAACGACTTAAACCAAATCTATGTATGCAGAAAGAGACAGTGGTGAATCTTGCACTGCCCTGGTGATAACAAAAAAATATATACAACTTTCATGAGTCGCCCTTTTTCATCTTTAGAAAACTCTACTCTCTCTCATCTAAACATGACTCACCCTACCTTGTTTCTTTTCTTTCCTTTTTTCTATTGGCTATTAGATAAGACGTTTTCTTTAGTTACATAATCTTCTTTTTTGTTATGCTCTTTCTAGCTAAACCTTGTTTCTATACACACACACATATATATACGCAACCCTGTTTTTGTTTCCAAGCCTAATTGTCTAATTATTCTATAAATAGTCAGTGTTTGTAACTCCTAATCAGTTAAATCATTCCAGACTAATGTTACTTTTAATTCCTACCAATTACTCCTTATGATCTTGGAAAAGTATGTTCATATCTTTAATGTAATTCATATTTTTTTTAATTGTTGAGGTTGTAACCAGTTGAGAAGAATCCTCGATTAAATAATAATAAAAGATGAGCTCATATTATCCTAGTACATTTGTTGTTCCTGCTTTGTTCAAGTCTTACATATTTGTTGAACCATATGTTCTTGATTGATTTGTTCATCAGAGTTCCCTTTTACGAGTTCTATCTGGTCGGCCATTTGATCCTCAATAAGAAGTCAGAGAAGGCAGCTGTTGATAACATTCTCTGCAATTTGTTGAAAATGCTTTTGTGATGCACAGTGCAAGTTCTTGACTCATATCAAAGAGCTGACTGAATGAACTGACATTGGTGTTGAAAATCTGAATCTTGTTCCTTTATGCTGGCTGAGTGAAACAGAATATTTCTAAACTGATTTCAGATTAATAAAAGGTGGTATCTTGCCTTTCCCATTCTGGCTGGCTGGCTGGCTGACTTTGACATCTTCATCCATTCCGACTGCCTGTGGTTGAAATAGGTGCTTCATGGTGAAATCAGTGAAGGAAGTAACCTCACCTGAAGATGTAGAAACGGGTTTTTTTTTTCAAATTCGTCTAATTAAATTACATGTGAAGGTAGACAGTACATGATAGTCACATCAGGCTGGAAAAGACCTAGTGGTGGTCAAACCAAAACATGGCTTGATCAGTCAATGAAATCTACAACAGTTAGTCTAAGCCATGTAGGAAGGTGTGGACTTCCTGGTTGGGGTCCTCGGGACGGTAAAAACCAATGGTTGGAAACAATTGGTGGCATGGCTCAAAATCGTTCTCAATGGCTGGTGCAGATGCATCCACTCCTTATGACTTATGATTTCCAATGAAACTGTTTTTGTCTTCATTACTACTATTCCTATGTCTCAAACCTTTGTTTACTGTCTCTGTTATGCATTTCTTCTACCTTCTTCTCTTGCTTTGTGTGCTACATGGAGTGTGGCGACTTGAACTGGTGCACATTTGTGCAAAGTTCTATGTCGAAAATAGACAGGCAGACAGTCACATCAGTCTAACAAGTATATATTTGGGGAAATCAAAAGTCTTTTCCTCATTAGTCGCCTGAAGAATTATATATATATATATATATATATATATATATATATATCTTTCTGATTCGATTGTTCCACTACATTATGCTGCTACATTCTGTATTCCCCTTGTTTCAGAAATCTATGCTTGTAAAAAACGTGTTAAGGCGTTTCTGGACGACCGAAAATCTGAGGGGAGGTTAGTTTATCTTACTACCGCATATGTGCATGTTTATTAAATCATTATAAAATAAACCACATTTTGTATTTATTTTATTTATTTACTTTCAAAATGTTAATTGAAGTAAATTTTACGGAGGATTGAATGCTTGTCAGTATAAGCTAAAGGGTACAGATTGACACGTGAGTTAACAGACTCAGAGTTGATAATCAACTGACAGGTTGAATGAATGAATGAATGAATGGAATCAATGGCAAGTTGTAGTAGTGACAAGGTGCTTTGTAACATCGACTCACCATCGGTACATGAAATCTTGAAGACGCTTACACTCAATATATATTTGTGTGTGTGTGTGTGTGTGTAAGAGTTGTAGAGTTATATATTCATCCTGATTGTGAAGAATAAGTTGTGTTCTAAACGAATTTATCCAGCAAATAATACTATTTCACTGAGTGACATTTTTAATTAGCAGACTAATATGAAAGTTTATACTCATTTCAAGATTGAAACGCAAGATTTCAAGATTTTGTCACTGAATTATTGTGAGACTGAATGATGTACACATACTGTAACAACAGAAGACAAGGGCGAAGCAACAGATCGTTTTATTATGAAAATCAACACGTATTTATACATATTTCACATACATTATTATAGACAAGCGCAGTCATCTGATTGGTTGTTTATCAGAAGTTAGGCAGACAAACGCAGGCTTCTGATTGGTTGTTTCGGGATTCCTTGACAAATAGAGTTCTCTATCTGCGAATCATATTTTGCCACGTTAACTTTGCTGTGATTGGTTGTTGAATCAGCCTTGGTCATATTTTCTCACGGCCTGCCCTCACCACAATACTACTAACATGAAATTAAATGGCTTAAGACTCCCAGGGCTCTTCGTTTCTTTTACTTTGTCAATAAATCGGTATACCTTGAATTTAATTCTTTTTAACCGTTAATTAATAAAGAATAGCACTCATTTTTAGGGGCATCTAAACACTTTTAGAGATACTGTTTCGTCATAAATGGTTAGTATTCTCTACAAAAGATCACGAAATAAAACTTAGGAATTCATTAAAACTGCATTAAACTATCTAGTGTCAACATAGTGCACCAACGCTTTGAGTTTTTTATCTTCATGTTCATTCGTCTATGTTCCGAGTATAATTTAGGGTTTCAAGCTTTCAAGCTCGGAGGATGGGCCTACTGCCTGCTTACGCTTGGAGGACAACTTGGATCAATCGTGTAGTTGACCATCATTCGACAGTTGAATTACCATTTCTTTTCATTTTGACGCTAAGTACTGGACTAAAAAGTCGTAAGATGTCTGTTAGCACTTAGTCGGTGGTGAGTGAAGAATATAGTTTCTCTCAAATCTTAAACGTTTCATCTAACATTTGTTCACTGTCACGAGTTACTCACTTATCATTCATGGAATGATGAGATTTATCTTCTCGCGTCATATTAAAGTATTCTGGGAGAAAAATATACACTTTACCAACCATACTAATACATTTCAATGTTGTATGTGCTATGTGGCTGCTCAGAGGTAAATATTCTTATTCCCTTCACAATTTAATAAGCTAAATTTAACCGATTTATCACTATTGTCACTGTAGTCACGACAAAGAGTCTTACAGCACAGATATCTACTTCATCAGGACTAAAAGGAAAATGTAATCTGTAACTCAATAATTATGAACCAACACCTTAGATCCCAAAAATACCACATTCATTTGAATGATATTACCTTGGCATCGATTGAAGTTTTCTCTAGACTGATGTTTCTCCGGGGAAATTCCTCAATGACAGCCCAGTCACCCTTTCAATGTGACTTAAGCGTTGTTGTTCGATGGTTGGAGGTAATCAATAGGAGAAGTTGTACCTAGGTTTCGTGCTTGTTAGTGCTTGTCAGGAAGGCATATCTGCAGTTTTGAAGGCAATTATGCCTCTTCTGAGATTATACCCCGGGTCAACCAGTGTTGCAGTCAGAGACGTCACCACTGACCTACTCGGACTGGTGGTTGACCTGCTGTAGGACTGTAGTGGATAGTTTGATTGAGCGTTGGCAGATAACGGGATCTCCTTACGAATATGTGTATGAAACTACCCTGCCATTGGTTCAACGTTGTCTCTCTACACGGTGTTTTGCCTGTTACTCGCCAGACTGTGATCCATCCACATCAGTTGGCGAGATGTATCTGTCTTGTTTTGATTGAATGGTTGAGACCTCCTACTTTCACTAGTTCACCCACTAGTCGTATCTGATTTTCCCATTTTTTTTCTGTTTTGGTTTCCAGTGATTCTGAGCCAGTCGTAACAGGAAATTCAAGTAAAATTTTCAAGAATATCCAAAATCTACGATTTGTGCAACACAAAGGTTAGTTGAATTTGTTGAATAACTAACTCTCTTCTGTTTCAGCATTACCAGATTTATTCTTTATGCATGAATTTCTACATGCAAATATAACTTGGGTTGGTGAACTGATTCGTAGTGGAAAATGTTATGCAGGTCCAGCAACAACAGCTATTCCACGCTTCCAACTTGATGACAATTCAAATTCAAATGTATGCATTCAATTAATCAACCCTATCGAAGTGAGTGTTTATGTTAATTGACTTAGAAGCAGAAAGACTTTGTAGAAACAACTACACTTTACTATTATTACGCCATTTAGAATATTACTTCTTATTGATTAGTGGGTAGTAATGAATGTCTTGCTTTATCCCAGACTGAAACAAATGGTTTGAAATTCATTACTGTAGAGTATCTTCAACTGAATTAGATATAAGATATGAAAGCAAACTATGTTGAGGCAAGTTTGTAGTGCAATCGTTTGCAAATGCATTTTGTTTTTGTTTACATGAAAATCTCTGAAAAACTGAGGTAAACACTTAAAAGTTTTAAGGCCTGCTTGAAAATTCCCATGGAAAAACGTTTCGGGATTCCTATGAATGACTTGCAATATCATTAATAATTCAGTCTCTTTTTATTTCTTTACGTTCCCAGTAGAACATAGGGCTTCAAGCTAAAAGCTTGAAGTTTCTGTAGTAGTGGTGATTATTTTTATAGGATGGGGTTGTTAGCCTCATACCCAACTTCCCCCCCCCGTTTTACCCGCCTTACTACTGGCTTGGCGAGGTAAAGGAGTGCGTCGGCTGGGGATTGAACCTGAGTGGTCGGCGAGCACTCTACCGCTGTGCCACCGACTCACGTATTTAATTCAGTTTAAGCAACAGTATTCCGATGATACAGCTGGTCATAATTACAGTGGTATCAAGGTATTCTGTTTCAATCTCTGGGTTAATTGGAAGCGACTAAATCCAGTTTGGAGAAATTAAACAGTTGGATCGAGACAGGTTATTTATTATTATGCGACTGAACAACCTGGAAGCCTGACCTTATGGAACCAACAGAATTGTTTATTATTTAGCTTAACTTTCCAAGGTACGTATTATTTGTACACAATGTATATTGTACAATAAAAGCGAATTGTTCTCACTGGCATCGACCAGTCTGTCTTCTATCTTTATTTTCGCTGGTTAAGGGCAACTGAATTGACTAGCAGTTGACATCTGGTCTTTGGTCATGTTGGTTGTTGCTTTTCAGTTCCGAAACCACAAATAAGTGTAATTATTACATCATCAGTAGATATAATACGGGCTAGCTAGCTTTTGATCCAACAAAGTGCATCACATTTACTCCATTTTATACTGTTTTAATCAACTCATTATTGCCCTGAATCTCAATCTGTACTCATGCCTATTTCTAAGTAGATTTTAACTGACTTCTATGCATTTTCCGAAGAAATTAAGGGGAAAGGATTGGGAGGGATTGTACCGTACTTCAGATAGAAGAATACTGCTTCAAATGATGCACTATTGATTATTAATCAACTGGAAGATTCTGAATAGGTAGTAGTAAATATTTAAGAAGAAATCACTCTGGGAATGCTATACTGCGTATAAACTCGGTATTAAGGTGATTATTACCACTATTGGTATATTGGGGATTATAAGACTTTAAATTGTTATTTAATTGGACAGAAAACATGTTCCAGGTTTTTATTTATGCTCTAGTGTAGACAAGAAAGGGTTACGGAACAATTTCATGCTTCATTCAACCAACCGCCATAAGTTACTTAGTTTATTTATGTATGATGCTTTATACTACTGACTGATTGATATGAGTAGTTGAATACCACTCATCTCAGTCAGCCAGTAGTGTTTGCTAGCCAGATTGTAGTGAACGGAGCATCGGACAGGCGTACTACAACTAATCTGACTGACAAGCAGTACTAGTTGATGCAAGTGATTCCCTACTACTACTACTCATATCAGCCAATAAGTAGTATATATCGTCAGGCATTCGTGCTTGCTTACGTGATTACCACCTATAGGAAGTATCGAGGAAATCACATACTCTGATCAGGTCCTAATGAAACTTCTGCCGAATCTCACCTGAAACTGTGTAATTCAGTACCTCATTTTTGGCTTGCAGTATTTTTGTCCAGCATGTATATGTTTAAAAGTTCAATAATCTTTGATTGATTTGTTTGTATATTACTATTTAGGAAATCAACTGGGAGGAGATATATTGTACTAATATTGGACTTCAAGAATTATAATTTGAAGAATTCTTCCAAATAATCTGTCAGAATCGGATGCAAGCAGTTTAACTTTCACTGTGGTTGAAAGTAAAAGTAAAAAATGAAATCATTATACTTCTACAACATATAATATTGTGATATACTGTGATATTTTCTGAGCATTTTTCAGGCTCACTTGAAATATTTATTAAGTGTAGTATATCGATGGCATTTAATCATGTTTCAAATTTCCTTCATATTAAACGATAATACCATAAAAGTGATTTTTTGTTGTTGTTGTTGTTGTTGAGAATGTAGTCTTTTCTTCCTTTCATCATATTTCCTTAACATCTTGAATTATAGTTTTATCAAGAGTTGAATAGTGTTACAGGTAGCAGAGATGACAAATGGAGGTAAATGTGCAATGGTTTTTTTCACATGCTTTCAAAAAACTGTCAGCCAAACTGCTCAGAGTGACTGTCTCAATAGATGTAATGGATGATATATCTGGAAGATGTGATAAGTATTCGGAAGATACTGGAATGTGTTAATGTTTTCAGTTGAATAATGTTTTAGGACAATAGATCACTCCTTGGGAAAATGAAAGGTAATGAAGTTTCCTCTATCTACAGGTTTGAGTGTAGGCATTCCCCAATAGACACTACTTCTTATCGTATGGTTATATTAGTATAAGGGCAGAGTCACCTGAACACCATAAGTACATGAATCACCTCTGTAGACTATCAGACTTCTTCCTTGTAAGCTGCTTATCTCTCCATTACTACGCCTTGCTAACACTCCTATACAGTCTGTAGTTTTTTTTCAGCTTCTACAACTTAACCTTTACTTATTTTACCAGATGGTTCAAAGGTTTATGAAGATCAGAACCTGCGACTTTCCGTCTGTGGAAATAGTCATTATTGAAAGGCTTTAGAAGAGTATTTTGAGTGATCAGGTGTAATGAGTCGAATTCGTTTGTGATACCGTGTCACACTGCTGCCATACTTAAGGATTAGTTAGATATTCGGAACCACTGATCTATAACATGAACGTATATGTTAAATATCCAGATCTCAAATATCTTCGGTCTATCTCTGGTTTAAAAAGACTACGCCTAGTACACAGAATACTATGCACAGTAACCAACGAGGAACAACAGAAGAACGAAATACAGTACGATTGCCTATTCTCCCACAGATAGAGAGAAGAAACACAGGTTACTGTCAACAAATTCTGTAAAGAGACGTTAGTAGAATGTACAGTTATACTTCTGATCATATTTCTCCCGTATACGACTAAGCAACGATAGTCTTCCTATCTCTCGCCAAATGGACACCAGTTTGAATAAACAAACGGTTAGATTTTCACCAGCTTTGACAATATATATATATATATATATATATATATATATATATATATATTATTACATACGTATTGTGCGCTAAAATATCTAAATCCTTCCTACTACAAATGTAGTTCTTGTACATTTAACGTGTAGTAGTGTGACTACACTTCTCGTCTTGTCAATCACTCGTGTAGGCCAAACTCTTTTAATACTAAATAAACTTCGAAGAATACGCTAAAACAAACTGGCCTCTGTAACTTGAAAATGAAGATATTACACGTATCTGGTAAACATTATCTGAAAGACATACACTTGTCTTATGAGTAATTCTTCATTACCTGTTGGGCATAAGTCGTCTATCACTGCATTGTGGCTATAAACAGTCATTATATTTCCTACAATTAAAAATTGAATTGTGTTCAAAATTGGATACTGAATATATCCTACTATTCATCGCAAGAGCCATTCACAAAGAAAGCCCCCATGCCATCTAGATGTATCACAAACACCAATCTGTTAGTTTCATTCAGTGGTGAAAAAAAGTTAACGCTGAAATTTCGTCTAGACACATTATGCAAGATTCATAATTAAACCACCCACCTTAAACAACTCATTTACATCAAGAAAAAGTAGTGAGAAAATACATATGTGGTTATATATTGTTCACTAGTTACTAGCAGTTTTAATGAAATAATTCAGAATAACAAAACTGTGTGTATTAATATAACTTCACTCCCATACATACTTGCTCACCTGAATAATTCAATTTGAACGTACTCATACCACGCTCATCACTATTTATTAATATTCCCTTGGATTCACAGTGGAAGATATTGCCTCAACAGCACATCTCCATTTCGTCTTGTTCTATGCGGCCCTTCTTAGTTGGCCTATTGATTACCAATAACCTATCATCTCTTCCCCCACACGATCTCCTCAATGGCATACTTAGACACACGTCCTAATCTGTGTTTCACTCGATTACATGTCTTGCTAGCGATGTCTCTCAACAATCTCCTGTGTCTGCTCCATCTGCATCTTCTTAGGCATATCTCTTGGTCAGTATGCCCTTGATCAGTTTGTCCACACAGTTTCTTGCTGCTAACCCTTACTGGCCATCTGATCTTCTGCATCGAGAGAAGGGTGCTGTTGATAAAAGTTTTCAGTCGACTGGAATTGCTTCTAGTGACGCACCAAGTCGCTGATCTATGTGGAATAACTCATATAATATTAGTTTCAGAAATCCGAATCGTCTTCTTCAAGCTGATTACAGCACACCAACTTCAGATTAACGAAGGTCTGTCACGCTTCTCCGATCCTACCTTTGGCGTCCTCATCTATTCCGCCTGGAGGTGAAATGGTGATGTCCAGATGAGGGAATCGGGTCACTGGTTTCAAATTTATCTCTTTGACGGTAGTCGATGCTTGCTGTTGCTTGTTAGGTATCTTCATTACATCATAATCATATATTCCTTTAAATTCACAAATGCAAAACTAATTAACCTGAGAGTTTAAGAACTACCAAATTCACTGAACGGTATGTTATGGAACACATAGTAGAATCTTGACACCCAGTCCTATTTCAGGATTTTAAAAGTGGAACTACACCTTAAGAGACGCCTATTCATTATCGTCTTAATACCAGAAATCTAACTTCATAGACACATATTTAGCACCAAACCCACCCGTCCACCAAGCGCTTTGATTAACTGGTTATAGCTGAAACTGAAATTCCTCACCACAACAAGTGATCGGTAACGATTCATACTAATCAGTATTATTAGCATTCCCTGAGGTTTCGAGTGCAACATCAGATTTCAATAACACATCTCCATTTCATCTTGTTTTCTGAAGTCTCCTTTAGCTGACTCCACAACCGCGCATGAACTATCGTCTCCTCCTCACATCATCTCCCCCATGTTAACAGTTTACCCACGACCAACTCGTTGTTTCGCATTTGGATCGCACTCAAGCAATGGGCTTGTGTCTACTTACTAATTCTTATTGATAAAAGTTGAGTCATATGCCTAGTAATCATTTTCAACCAGTTTTGTATCGGAAACATAACTTCAGGTGCCATCAGTAAAAGTGTGTGTTTGTTTGTATTTATTAAAAACTGCTTTTATCTTATTCCTGTGAATTCGAGTCATTGTGATATCTTTAAATCGTGAATATTTTGAAATGTAAATCTTTCTTTTGCAGGCGAAAATTCGCCTACCGAAAATTACACCAAAAACTTGATATGATGTTAGGAAAGGGAACTGGAATGGATTACGCATACACCTGTATTAAACAAACCCTGGCATCTTCATAGCGATTAACAGTAGCTTCTTTCCTTTAAGTATATATAGTTATCGCACAAATTGTTAACGTCTAATTCATGACATGAATAAGAAATGAAAGTTCATTCGCTTCAAAATCATTGAGAAATCAAAGGTTTCATACCAGTAAATGTGACCAGATGACGTTGTAAATCTCCTCAAGATTATCAGCATGATAAGCTATGTAACATGTTAACAGTTACATTTACGCTAACAGTCCATCGATCACTGGTTCAAATCTTGCTAAGAATCAAGGTTTCATTCCACCTTCAGTCATCATTCACTGCATCAATTCAAATTTTCTAATCTACAATTACTCCACAGAGTTTCAATAAAATTTCAGTTCTTTCACCTAAGTTAAACTGTTAGTCAGCTCGTTGGCAATCACAAACAACTTTTGTATGCTCTGCTCACTTTGCCTTGATCTAGTCTGCAAACACTAGTCCTATGTGTACATGACTTTCAGTTACTTATGTGTATATACCTGAGAGTACTGAGATTCTTCCCTTGAGATTCTTCAGGGGAACCCACCCACCACTAGAATCTGGACCCAGGACCTTCCGGTTATAAGGCGAGCTAGCTCGTAAACCATTCAGCCACTAGGACCCGCTCCGACGGCCCATGAACTCCAACTTCTACAAATTCACAATAAGGGCGACCACTAGTCAGTGTCACCGTCGAGTGTTTGTCCTCTCACATAACAAGTTGTACCTCACTGGTCATGAGCTTACTTTTCTTCCACAAAACAAATTACGGTAACTGACTGAATTTAATTAGTTACTGTTTTTTTTTACTGGCAGTTATCTTTGCAGACCAGTTCAGCTTTGAAACTGTTTGTTCACAAACATAAAGGTCATAAACGTATACACTCTGTCTTTGATAATTGAAAGCACACAGTGTATCGTCCCAATACGCAAGTAAGTGTAGTCATAACTGAAACCAAATTGAAATGTAGTCATTTCACTATCTCTGAATAACCCAGTGAGACGCTTTTATCACTTTATCTGTACCCAACTGTAAAACGTTAAACATGTAATTCGTTAGATATCATTCTTGATTGATACTAGATTTACACGAGGATTAACCACTATTTGACATTCAGTTGACAGCCACTATTTCGGTGTGGTCGTCAGATTTGAACGCCAACTATCTATACTAGCGGTTCCTGCAACTCCTACTGTTCCAGAAATGCTGGCTAAGAAGAGATCACACAAACAGAACAAGTTTCACTCGGTGGTGGCTATCTGAAAGCAAGTCGTAGTGCTGATGCGAAGGAAGGTAATAGCAGGAAGTTACTTCTGTCGAACAACCAGTGATCAAGCTGCACCAACTTCCTCTCCCGAGGTTGAAATGTGTAAATCGCAACCTCAAAATCTTGGCAACTGCAAACCGCTGTGTAAAATAAGGATCTTTCAGTAGAACAATTCTGCTCTCCACCACGCCTCGGTTGTTCATCAAGCTGCAGTGACTTTCAAATGCAGGTTTCTCTACTCACGACAACATCCTTAACTCAAAACAATTAAATGCTGAGATATACTGATTTCACACGTTCTCACCAATCACAGTCAGAAAATGTTGTCAGTCAAGACAAGTGAAGCCCAAGTCTCCCTAGGGTATCATCAGTCAGAAAGAGCTTTGTTTGCTCATTCTCTCGTCAACCTCTAGTCATTCCAGTTTACAAGCATGGAGGAAAGTCTTCGCATGGTAACATTACAATGATTAGTGTTGATGATCATGAGACCTCTCTCTCTGATTATTCAGCACCAAATTACAAATCAACAGTAATCAGACCATTCCAACGCCTTCTGAAGATATCAGACAAAACACACCGGTCAAGTTTGCATTCCAAACCACGTTCTACAACAAACACAACTAATGGAGCTATTGACACTTATCGCATAAAATGAAAGAAGTTGTAGACTTCATCAGTCATGTGATTCCGTGTTTTTCTGACTGTGAACATTTTACTGGGAAATTTTACTATGCTAATCAGAGTTGTCCAGTCAAGCTTACACAGAATCGGAGAGTTATCTTCTCAGATAGAAACCAACATTCGTATAGGCCAGAGATGTTCACTAAACATTTTCCTTCGACTTGCTTACACTTCAAATAATAATTGTGTCAGCATGCATTCAACGTCTAGATGTATGTTCAGGCTCGAATGACGTAGAAGAAAGCATCGTGGTAGCCTACGAAACCAATCAATCTCACATTTCGTTTTCCATATGGATTTCACCTGTTTTGAATGCACTGTGAGGTACTGACTGGTAGTGGTATTGGCTAGGAACACTATACCAGAGCCTACTAAACGCCTAATCACTTATAAATCGTTAATCTACCTAACTTGTAAATGCTGACAACACAACGCAAGTCAAGAAGACTCAGTAAATTAGTAATGTGCTCTGATGGGCACGAAATCTGAATAAAATGCAGATTTGAGATTATTCGGGGAACAAAATTCAGAAAACATTCGGCTGATATGGCTGAATTACATAGTCAGAGAATGTGCGTGTTAACAGCACATGGAGAAAGCGCGAAATGGCGTTCGAGTGAGTTTGTACGTGAATCCGTTGAAACACTGGGAGGTACACTCCAATAGGATGTGGTTGTTCGCGTAGAGAGCTGCAAGTTACAAAACTCACCAGAAGTCTGTGAGAAAAGTCTACTGTGGAGAAGTGTATGCCAACCGACTTCCATATTCATTCCACTCAAAATCTGACATGAATTCTGTGACTGGCGGACAGACACACAGCCGATGCTTCAAGTTAAACGTTTCACACTAGGTATTAATTAGTTGAGGATTAACAGTGTTGTCGATGAGATTAGGGCTGAGATAGTCAGTTTTCTAGTGTCATTCAATACTCGATGAATAGAAATATTTTGAGACTTCCCACTGAACAATCTCGGTCGTCCGATTGTGATCGCTTCAATATTCCCAGTGTTTCATTAACGACTCACTTACTGCCGATCCTTTGTGAAAATATGTTGCAAAAAGTGATTTACATTAGGCCGGTAGTAACTTCCTCCTGACCACCAGTACTACTACCACAGCTACTACCGTTTCACATATCACAATGCACTAATTAGGTCAGCTTAATAATTGATCTTATTCCACATACACTCACCAGTGGAGTGGACGGAAATGAACTGCATCGCTCATCATCTGACCACCAATCCCCAGACGAAATTATACACATGAAACTCAATCGGAAATGTAGACAACTGCACTCACTCTTTAGAAATACTAAAGGTCGAAACAAACTGAATATTTCATCATTTTATTGGTAATTTCCACAAAAGTGTTTTATACAACATTACAGATTTCTTATTAAATGATACATATTAAACACGCGTACTCAACTTACAACATAAACCAGTGATGGTTAGAACCAGAAACCAACAAATACAAGTTTAGAATATAATATAATGTGATCAAGTCAGCTAAAATATACCTGTAATAGTAATTCTTCCAAATCCCTCACTCTACTATCGCATAACCCCAATAACTCCGTTACGAGTACATCTTGAGCTTCAGGATGACTCCGTTTATAAACATAAAACAATTCTCCTTGTATTCTCATAAGTCTCAACTTCTCCAGTGGTTCATCATGGACGTAAACACATCTCTTGCCAAAAGCACATTCTCCGCAATTAAGGAAATTATGACAAATCTTCTTTTTATATTCCTGTCCGAGAGGAACATATTTTAGCTCCTCTATACCATGAGCGAATCGACATTTTTCACCAAAAACGCAGCCTTTAGGATTGTTCCAATAGAATTCACACAGCCGAGTTTTGAAAAATCTGTTATTCCGACTGCCTGTATTATTCCCATCTCCGACTACTTCCAAATTACTTACTCCTTCATAATGAAGCCTTGAGGATGATGAAGGGTTCTTGTCTTCAACTTGGTGGTTGCCATGATCACCACCATAATTTTCCAATTTATTTTTATGATTTCTCTCAGACAGATCATTCGGCTTTCTTCCGTCATTCGAACCGCTCCTATCTTCTATGTGCAAGTTCATCAACCACTTCAAAATAGATTCCCGAGGAAAATGCTCAGCTGTGTGGGTTTCATCTGGTAATGTTTGTGTATGTTCATCTGACACCTTTTGAAACACATCAAAAGGACTAACAGAGGATACGCAACACTCAAAATTTTCTTCTCTTCCTCTCGTAGGAACTCCAGGAGTTTCCCCCACTCCTCTGGTACGGCATACATCCTCATCAGAATCGCTTTTTTCTACAGTATTTTCGAAATGTACTAGAAAATTCCCCCAATTCATATCTCCGTGCATATTTCACACGATCACTTTCCCAATAACTGATATTCTAGACGAAATCAGTGTTTTTATTTTGAATTGTGAGTTCCACTCTGCCTTATCAATTAATCAATAATCCTTTGACCATTAAACACATTATTAAAAGTCATTGTGATTACTGCTCACATTCATCAAATTTGGTTTGTTCAAAACACTACATACACACAAAAAGATACGCAAATGAGTTGTTAGAGTTAATTGATAAACTAGACAGCATGTAATTCAGTTAGTGTAAATGAGAAGTTGAGTAAAATTCAAAAAGAAGAATCAATTTATCTGAAATAGGTAATTTATTTACGCCACCTGCTTTGAACATTCTCATCAAATATGTACTTGCCATACTTATTTATATAGTGGGTTAACAGGGTATGAAGAAGACAATATTCAGCAGAGACTATTTTCAACGAGCTTTTCAGCTGTTGTGTGATGTTGTTGACATAATCAGCGTATCTGTGTTCAACGTACTGCGAATCATGTCAGCGTGTCTTACCATGTCTACACCACATCCTATGTTTGTATGTCTTTTTAGTATTGTCATACCGAATAATTCCACGAATTTAGATAAAAAGTCATATAGCTGAAGAATAAGTAGAAGTACGGAATATCATCTTCTCTGCTACCATAGTTAGAATAAAATATTTTCCAAGTTGGTTCATAGATCTTCATAGAATAACAAGTGTATATGGATATTCAGCTTCTTAATTCGCTACATAGTCACGCACGATGATTTCTGCACTGGCGTTATGGTTTGAAACACTTCAGACTGGTCAGAGGAATGCCTAATCATAACTCAGATAGTCTCTCATTGTCGATTTTTTAATTTTGCCTTAATTTCCGTCCCTAAGATTATAAACGTCTACAGTGTAACACCAAAATTTATATTGGTTCACGTAGATCCCAGTGTTGCAGCAGCCACATTGCCTTGTTCTAATCTCAATTACAATGATACATATTCAAAAACAACTTCATTTCTTCCCCTTCTTTCGTTTCCTCTATAACTGTTACCCTTATTTTGTGTATTTGTTCACATTCAGCCTTACAATTAAATATTCTTTGCTAAGAATTTAAATTATCATTGTTTGCAGAACCCCAGAAGTTTATCGACTACATAATACTTTCTTTAGTCTACAAGATTTCCGAGAATCTGTGGATGGGCCAGTCAGCAGATCTGTTTTAATTTTGAAAGCTGAATAACAGCAAGCACATGTGCACAAAACCATGTGCAACCGATTGGTTGAGATGACTGGTTGTATACCACTCACATCAACTAATAGTGCTGCTAGCCAACCACATGGAAGTGCTACAAGCATCAAACGGCCTTTTCGCTTGTTTGGAGCCGAGTTCATTGGCAGTGTACCCGATTTCACCCAACTCAGATAGCCGATTTACTTCGAACTACCAGATTCCCGACTAGCTACTTGGTCGAAGCACACACACAGACACAACGCATCCAAATTAAGCCATACTCGATGTTCAGACTGAAGAATTTAAAGTGAATGTAAGAATGACTCGGTGACACGATAGAAGAATCAAATATATGATACTAGGTGGTTATAGGATCTCAGTGAACTCGGGGAGTTTCTCATGACGTTTCCATTGACATCTAGGCTATATGCCGTCCTATACACTGTCACTGTGCGTCAACAGGAGATAACAGTAAAGCTGTGTCGAAGGTAATCTGTGTAGGAAAATAAATAACGTGTGAATATATGGGTCAAGAATAAGGGGATTCAAATAAACAACGTTCACCACAGAGTGGAACCTAACTGAGAAATGTATAGCGAATACACTTTAATCATAAGCAAGTAATTATTCCAGACTAAATCGAATGTTTATACCATAAGTGAGTTGGTTTCCAGTGAAAATCAATAAGCGTGATTACGGAGTAACAAAATAGTAAATGAAGTCGAAATTGATGCTACTTACTAGTAATAAGTAGCATAAAGTTAAATGAAAATGTTTTAAAGAATAGGTAAGATTAGAACTAACTAAAGTCTCTTGGATTCCGAAACAAATCCTCAACAAAGACAACTAGAGTAAGACGCTTAATATTATTATGAGGAATAGACTTTGTATTCATAATTATATTACCACATATCTAGTTCATCATTCTGGGAATTGCCATGAATAGTTTAGTGAACACGTCTTAGCAGCCGCAAACTAAACATAATACACATTTATGTTTCTTCAGTGTCCAGACAGAGGCATTTCCATTGGTCTGAGAATGGGATTTGAGTACTATGGTCCAGTATAATTCTATCATAGGATAAATTCTTTTGATGAAACACACAGTGAGACAATATTAATTGCCCGCTGATGACGACTCGGACACAAATTATGCCTCATAATTACATCAGAGTGTCCACATAACTTTCAGACTTTATTTGTATTGTTTCACTATTTATTTTCCTTTGATTTTACTATTAGTAACATTCTCCGTGCCCCTGGTATAAAATACTTAAACGGCAACTTTACCAGATTCGAATCTTAGTTACGGGCAATAATAATTACGCGCATACGTGTGTATGCAAAGATAGGTTTGTCATTCTTATTTTATTCAAGCTCGTATACCACTCACCCACTGGAATACGATTCAATGGCCCATCAGCCATCCAGTACTGACTGATTTTCAATGATTCTTATTTTGGCCTTATAGATACATATTCAACATGCTAATTTTTTTAACAGCCTGATAACTCATACATATCCACTCAGAACAACTTTAATGTTTCTGTTCTCTCACTTAAGCGGTGAGCACTAAATAGTGCTACATCGGTAAAAGCATCAATCGATGGTCACACCTGAAACAAATCAAATCCCTACAAACTAACTTTTAAAAATTATTCTGGTGCTCGCTAATGACTGGCAACAAGATGAATTTGCCTGGAGTCATACTAAGAAGTCGTGACCAGTGAGTTCCACCAGTAGGTCGACAGTGATGACAAATACTCGCTGATAACATTGGATAGAGCTTGTGCTAAAGTCACAGATCGACAGAAGTCCATGAATCGTTGGATTCCACCCCAGTGTCTGAATGTTCATTGATCTCACCTCGTAATCTGAAGGTCTTGAATTCAGTTCATGATGGGCTTGTGTGTGTGTGTGTGTACTGATGAAGAGTCTCAAGTTATAACAAAACAGCTATCAAGTACTCCTTGGTTTTCAATGGTTCTCTAACTGAAGTCAGTCGATGATCATATGTGAAGCATACAAACAACTTTGCATTGACTGGGAAACATAAACCTTAAATAACAATAAATTTCAAATGTTTATTTGGTGATATTTGAGACTAGAATTCCGGTTGGAACAAGACAGACTTGAATGTAGTTGAATGTACATGATGAATCTCATTACAAGTTTAGAAGATTGTTCTATATTCCTCTGCTAATCGCTGACCACCATATTATTATTATTATTATTATTGTATCCTTTAGTTCCTAGAGGAACATAGGGCTTCAGCTGCGCACCTCCATTGACTTCGGTTTTCTGACAACTTTTTCACCCTGCTCCAGGTCTGCCCACATGCTTTCATCTCCTCTTCACATGACCTCCTCCAAGTCACCCTTGGACGACCAACTCGCCGCCTCCCTTTCGGGTTCCACTCGAGGGCTTGTCTAGTGATGTCACTTGATGGTTTCCTCAGCGTATGGCCAATCCATCTCCATTTCTTTCTGCCTATTTGTTTCACAATCGGTTCCTGATTGGTTCGCTCCCAGAGATCCCTGTTGCTGATCTTTTCTGGCCATCTGATCTTGAGTATTGAGCGGAGACAGTTGTTAATGAAGGTTTGAAGTTTGTTTGAGATGCTCTTTATGACTCGCCAAGTCTCTGATCCGTATAGTAGCACTGACTTCACATTGGAGTTGAAAATCCGGATCTTATTTTTGATGCTGAGTGCTGTTGACCTCCACACAGATTTGAGAGTAATGAAAGCTTGTCTTGCTTTTCCGATTCTGGCTTTGATGTCCTCGTCAGTTCCGCCTGTAGTTGAGACGATGCTTCCCAGGTAGGTGAAGGAGGTTGTTTCTTTCAGGTTCTTCCCATTTATGCTTATTGTGGTCTGTTGTTGCTGTTGATGTTGGCTAGGAATCTTCATCATCTCTGTTTTATCTATGTTCACGTGAAGTCCTATCTTTGATGCTTCTTCTGCCAACTTGTTACTTTTCACTTGCATATCTTCCAGTTTATGGGAAATCAGACATATATCATCGGCGAAATCCAGATCCTCCAAGTCTTTTGTGTCAGTCCATTTTATGCCTGTTCCCTCGTTGGTTGCCGTTGTCTGTCGCATTATCCAATCAATTGCAATCAGGAAGATCATTGGTGATAGTAGACAGCCTTGCCTCACTCCCGTCCTCACTTCGAAGGCTTCCGTAAGTTTCCCGTTGTGGATTACTTGGCATGCAGCATTGTCGTATAACTGTTGGATGAGGTGTATAATTGTCGATGGGACCCCGTAGTAGCGAAGTAGTTTCCAAATGACCTCTCGATCGACGCTGTCGAAGGCCTTTTCAAAGTCGATGAAGTTGAGATAGAGAGGTGACTGCCATTCCAAGCTTTGTTCAATGATGATCCGTAGAGTGGCGATTTGATCAATACATGATTTGTTTCTCCTGAATCCAGCCTGTTCCGGACGAAGTTTTTCATCTAGGGCTTGTTTGATTCTCTCCAGGATGATGCGACTTAGTATCTTGCTTGGAATGGACAGAAGCATAATTCCACGCCAGTTTTTACATTGACTTAAGTCTCCTTTCTTTGGAAGTTTGAATAAGTAACTGTTCTTCCAATCCTCGGGTACTTTGCCCTCTTTCCACACCTTCTCCAGTAGTGGTGTCATCAAGTCCGCTGTTGTCTCTGGGTCTATTTTCAAAGCCTCTGCTGGGATTCCATCTGGTCCCGGTGTTTTCCCAGTTTTAAGCATCTTGATTGCATTCAGGACTTCTGATTTCGTCGGGGGTCAGTGTTCACTGGTAGTT